GCTAAGATGTTGAAAACCAGTGAAAAATCAATTTTTTCTTGTTCTGAATGGTGTATTTGAAGCACTTAAAAAATGGTGAAGGGGTGTGCTGAGTGCCTGTCATGCTAGCAATGTTTTCTTCTGCAGCGTGTGTAGGGACATCCACCTGTCAGCCCTGGTAGGCTGTGAGAGTTTGATGTACCGGTTGTTGTGTCAGCACAAAGGAAGGAAACGGGAGTTGAGGAACGTCAGAAAGAAAGTTGGTAGCAGACCGTGTTCTGAAGAGCGTGGGTTCCCCGATGGAGCACATCATCGAAATAATTAGCTGGATTCTGAGAAATGGTGACTCTTGGGAGCAGTGGTGCATGGGGAGTTGAAGAGTGCACAGCACACTGCCCTACCATCAGGTTCCTAACTGACTGGGAGTGCTGTCAGGGACGGATTAACATGCTTTGACAAATTTTCAACTCACAGAAATGTGGATTAAAAAATTCTATTGGTTTGTTAAAGAATGTTCGCATCCTTCAGGAGAGATTGTGGGGAGGTGTCTGGGTATGGGTTTAAGGATCAGAAAGAAGCCAGAAAGAGGTGGGGGGGAATCAATGAAAACTTGAATACAAAACAGATAGTATTAAAAGAGAGAGACTATGGGGAAAATGACCATAGAGAACAAGAGAGAAAAATTGTAATGGGAATAAAAAATACAGAGGCCCTGATTCTGAGCTGCACCTCTCACAAGGAGCTCAGAAAATGCAGCCCAAGAGGCCAGGTAAAGGTGGCTTAAAGTCACCTCTGTGCCTGTTGAATTTTGGGACCAGCACCCAGACAAAGTTGGAGCAGCCCACGTTGTTGCTCTAACTTATAGTGGTTTCCTAGAGGCACCAGTGAACTGCTCTGCCAGCCCAGAATAGCCAGGGTAGAACACTCTGGTTAGTCAGTCCCTTACCAACATCCCTCCCACCTCCCCCTACTCTATGTCAGGGGCTTCAGGCAGAGCTACAATGTGTCTTGGGGCCGCCTACACCAATCTGGGAACCACTTTGCACCAAGGGAATTACTGATTGTGGCTTTTTTTTTTTCGCACTAGTACACAGCACAGTCTTCCCTTTAACTAGAAAAAAAAACATATTTTATTTTGCTTTTAAATCAAATCTGTTTTAGGAGAAAATAGGGCTGCCAGTTAACAGGAAATAAGGTTCCCAACTCAAACTACTTTTGCACACCTACAATATAACTTGGAAGGTTTGCAAAATAATCTAATTTTCCTCCTCTCAATTTGTTTTCTCTAAAGGAAAAGATGAAATAATCCCTTTTTTGTTGTACACTTTGTCCAGAGGTTAAGTGGGAGCCGTGCATGGCACACACTACTTTCCCAATATCCCCAGATAAGCAAGGTTAACTAATCCCAAAGGGGGTAGTTCATATTGCTTCCTTGGTTAAAAGAAGAATAAATAGGATGACCAATGGAATGAAAAAATTAAATCAGATAAAACCAAAGGGAGTGAACATTGGGAACAATTTCAGATGACCTCAGTACTGTATAATTGTATTAGAATAAGTATGAACATTAACAATTTTGGACATCTAAAATGTTAAATTAACAGCCTGAAAACATTTTACTGGATGAAATAGAATATGATACATGGAACACAAGGATTCCTCTGAAATTCAGCCAGTATGCTGTTGCTACTCATTTAGACAAAGAAGACAACTAGTTAATCATCACAAAGAAAATTAGACAGAGTAAATTGGTTTGCTGCATTCCAGAGACTTAGCTACCAAAGGAGTATATACCACTAATTAGAGTGAAAATACTCCAAGCATGCAGTTATCGAGAGAGAGAAAGAGAGAGAGAGAGATTTGGAATGCTTCTACTAAACCATGAAGTTTGTGATACAGTTATAAGATTTTATCAGTTCAGCAGCCTATGTTAAGGGACTTCAACTTTGATTATATTGACTAATGACATAATAGGTTATAATGAAAATTATCAGGCATGCCTTGAATCCTTTGTTTCCCTGGATTCTCTGAGCCCTTTAATGAAACATAAATAGGTTACATTTTAAAAGGTATACTAATGCACAATAAAATAAAAAGAGATTAGGAAACACAGGAATTGAGTTTCCTAGAGCAACATTAACTTGGTCATGCTGTGGATATTTTGGCTTTTTCGTTATATTTATACAACATTTAATTTTGAATTAACATAAATGTTAGAGTTTCACTTAAATTAAGAGAAGAAAAATGCCCATGTTTAATATTGGAATGGAAGCGGTTCAAATTAGGCTTTGGGTGAAAGAAAGCAGAGTTCGCCCATTTGCTGCAGCAAAAGGCCCCAGATCTTCTCTGGGTTCCTTATGGATAGAGCCTGAATCCAGTGACATCAGTAGGATCAGGCCTATTAGTTGTCTAGAGATACAGCCATCACAGTGTGAAATGATGCACTATCTGCATACCTGAAAACTAAGCTAACTTTTTTTCCCTGACTAACGGGTTATGACTTTCAGAATCTTAGAGAATTCAGGAGAACTTGTGGAAAACTCCTAAAAATCATGGGATAGACAATATTTTTTTTCACTGATGATTTTCTCCTGTTGCTGATATTAAGCAGTCATTTTTTAAGGCTTGAGTTTTGTGCATTTCTGTGAGAATTTTACCATTTCCCCTGTGCAGCAGCCCCTTCTCCTATAAGAGAAGAGAAACTTTATGATATCATAAAAGGTGTGGGTTTCATTGGGATCTTCTTAAAAAAAAAAAAAACTAAGATGCCAAGGAGCATGCTCAGAAGGGATTTTCTCCTTTGTTCTCACTCCTTTGGAAGAGTGTCATAATTCATGGGTATTACTGTCCAGCTCAAATGAATGGAAGCAGAATTCCTTTTTTTAGGAATTAGGAATTCCTCCTGCCTGTTAGCATACTAACTACATCTTCCTCATTCTTATCTTCTTTCACAAAGTTATTTTAAACTCCCATTTGAGGCTTATTTTGACAGGCATATGCAACATCTTGGGTGGGTAACATTTTAAGCCTGGTTGTCAATATATGCTTTTTCTAACAATGGCAAAACTGAGTTGCTAGTTTCTTTGGATGCAAATACTAGATGTTAGATCCTTCAGTCTTTTCTAAGTGCCTTGATTGCAGGTTGAAAATTTGTGATATTTAAAGAAGGAATGAAATTTACATATTATGTAATTTTATGCATAAAAAAGCGGGGGCAGGGATTCTTCTGGGAAACAATATTTTTTTTAGTTTCAGAACTACTTAAATAGTCTTTACTGCATCTTTTAAATTTCAGACTATTTCCATCTTCTGAAAGCATTACTAAGTGATTCTTTTTCTGTGCCCCAGAGCCACCTGTTACCTTTGTTGGTAGTGATTATTTTTGTGGGTGTTTGCTATTTTATTATTTTCCATATATAGTTGGTCACTTCTCATGAATTATGACATCTGACCAGAGCAGTGGATCCTATGTCTGACAAAGGTAAAATCAATTTTATTTCTAATTTTGATTTCTTCTATAATGTATGGATCCATTACTCTGAATAGATTTTCTGGATCTGATCCAACTCTCATGAACAACAGTGGGAATCTCACCGTTGATTTCAGTGGGAGGAGTATTAGACCCTCTTAATAAACCTACTCTACATGAACTTGATCCTGCACCATTAGAGTTAATGGGAGCCTTTCCATTGACTTGAACGGTAGTAGGATCCAACTCTGATTGTGCTTGGTATACCATGGGAATGTTGTAAGGACAAGACGTAACATCAAACAGGGCTAAAATGTCATACAACTGACATTTGCAAAATGGTCATATTTGGGTAGTTTTCTATTCCACATTGTAATTTTTTGTCTCCACACGTTTGGAAGTACCCATTAGTGAGATGAAGAAAAGGAGTACTTGTGGCACTTTAGAGACTAACAGATTTATTTGAGCATAAGCTTTCGTGAGCTACAGCTCACTTCTGTCACTAGATCCACTTAATAATAAATAAGAAAATCTGCCACCTTTCAGTATCATTAGACAGGATTACCCATAAATTATTTTTACCCAGAACTTGGATCTGTTGTAAGAGAAATCAAAATGACTTGTGCAAAAACCTTTTCAATCACTTATAACTTAATTATCACTTTATTACCTGACCAATATATTTTCAAATGAGACTGTGGTGTCACACTATTTGCACACCATGCTTCAAGTTCCAAAATTCACCTGGTTTTTGTAATATGTTTATCGAAAGAATGGTGCAGTAGAAAAAACATAGAGTATGGGGGTTTGGGGGTTTTTTGGTTTGCTTGTTTGGGGGGTTTTGGTTCATTTTTGTTTTGTTTTACCTCTTCACTCCACAAGAACATACTGTATTAATTAATTTGTCAAACGTTCCTAAAGCACTGAGATCAAGCCTTTTCACCCCAAAAGGAAGAATGTTTCAGAATGTTTTGAATGAGTGAAAACAAAGGATTATAACTGAAACAGGTTTGTGATGTTTACTATGTAGTTTTCACTACCAAGCAAATTCAGTCATGAAAGAACTTTGCTGGTAATTGTTTGAACTGTATCTGGAAGCAGCCTTTTGAAATCAGCCTAAATATGATAGTCTTTTTGTTTCTTTCTCTTAATTTTTCTTTTATTTTATTTTATAAGTGTTGTCAAAACACATGTAATAAATATTTGGACTCTTAATTTACCACAAGAGATTAATCTGAAAACCTACTTTCCTGGCTTAATTAGAATTCATTTGCTTAATTGTCATTCTGATCCTATCAATTCCAGTTTTGCACTAGCTTGAACAATGCTATCTTGTTGCTGTTTGCACTTTAATTTAGATTTCTATTATGGTTTATGAACAGTAATAAGGTTCTGCTTGAATATTCATTAACTTTTGAATTGTGAGCTATGAAAAGGTGCTTTTCTTTACCTTAATGAAAGTGGCACAGCATGGGACTGATCGGTAGTGACATTTGATTTGAGACATCCAGCAAATTTGCTCATGGTTTATTGACACATCTCGTCCAAACAGCTCCCTCGCAAGTTAGCGAAGTAATGAAAGAGCGAGTGCTGCAAAGGAGCGTGGAGCTTTCCTGGCAGGAACCAGAACATCCTAATGGAGTCATCACTGAATATGAAATCAAGTATTACGAGAAAGTAAGTGTATGTGAAATGCACAACAATTTGCTGTTTGCATCATGTCATCCCACTCTTCCATGGGCAAATTTTAATGCCATAGTAATTATACCAGCTATTATCTGTTGGTGTCATTTCAGGTTGTAGTTGATTTTTAATAACCGTCTTCATATCCCATTAATTTATTATCATGATAGGTTCTGTATATTGTATTTGTATATTACACAAATGAAAACATCCACTCGATAGCATGCTTATCTTGCTTGTTTTTATATGATTACAATAAACAGGACTGTGAATGTTTTTGCAAGAGATTTGTGACTTTTCTGTCTCTTATCCCTTTTTTTTAATACTTCTAGGCTGTTGGAAATGTGCTGTTGAGATCAGACATAAAACAAAGCTCCAGATCATTTTTGGTAATAAAATAACCTATGGCACTTTTGCAGAGTTGGGCATGTTAGACCTGATGTCTCAAATCTTCATCCATTTTCCCTGAAATATCAGCTGGATGAATTATTTTTCACTTGCTCCCCTAAAAGCTCTCAATAATGTGTTGGTAGAAAGTGGTTGCATTTCCATGGTAGGTGAAGTTATCCTTGTATATGTAGCGTGAACTCCTGGGCCCAGTGAAGATGAGGGTTGTTTTGCCATTGACATCACTGAGGCCAGGATTTTAATCTCTGTTAAAAAAATGCTCTATACATGCAAGATATTAATTAATGCTCAAAAGCTTCTAAAAAAAGGCTGAATTAAGATATAATAAAGGAAGGAGCTCTTCTGTGATCACTGTTGAGGATGTATTTTAACTCCATATCTAAGCTAATCATTATATTTATTTCAGAGCAGAGTATGTCAAGTTTCTAGGTAACATACAATTAAATTGAAACCACATTGTATCCAATATCAAATGTCTCATCTAGTTTTCTGTGCTGAATAACACAAATATACTTATCTGATTATTTTTACATGGGTTAGAAAGGAGAGTAAAAAGGTAGATAGTTTATAATGATCGTAACTCTGAGTTACTTGGTTTAATTTCTCTTATTACAACACTTGTCAGAGAGCTGCATACCTCAATTTTTATAGCTTGCAAGAGAAATTTTACTGTTTGTACAAGTTAATTCATTTTTTCACAGACCCACAACAGTGAAATTCTATCTTGGGATAAATTCCAAGTCTTCAAATGTTTACCAATGACTAAACAATGTTATTTTTTACATATCCTAAATAGTTTCTTGCCTGTAAAAATCATCATTGGTCTTTGTAAAACACTGAAAATGCTCGATGAAATCACAAAACATTTAGCTTTTTGTGAATAGGACTCATGAGAATATGATTTTTATAATTTATTCAATATATTTGTGTTGTTTTAGTGAGTTATGCAAACAGGAGATTGGCAATAAATGTATTAAATCATTGCTATAAGAGAAATATCTGCCAGTCATAAATTAAAATTAAATTAATTAATGAGAATTCAAGACTAAGGATCTGATCTTGCAAATATTCACTCAGAAACTAAACTTTGCAGCTGGGAGTAGTCTTTTGAATTCAGTGGGACTGCTCACATGCATGTACAAGCAAATGTATTTTAATTTGAAATGTGTGTCTGACTCTTGCTTACAGGAAGAGTCACACAGTTATATAACTTCCTGAACTTTCACCTTGTTTTAGAACCAAACAAAAGTTTCAAAGGTTCTGACATGTTCTGATAAGTGTTTCTTCGTGTCTGATTTCTGGCTAGGGCTGGAACTGGAAGTGCCAGAAATCTCACAGGTAAGCCTGTTCTTGTGAGATTTCTAGCCCAGTTTTTCCCCCCAAATTCAAGAGGTTTTCAAAGTTCAAATAAGCTTAGTTTATGTATTCGAACCCAAACTCTGAACTTCTGAAGTTCTGCTGACGTTTACAGTACTATTCACCATTTCCTGGTATTTCTGCTTCCTTCTCCTTCCGCATCCCCTTTCCTCTCCTTCCCCCCACATACACACACATTTCACCATCCCTAACCATGCTTATAAATGATTGATTTCCTCTTGGGGAAGATATGAAAAAATATTTCTACACTATCTGACATGTTCACTCAAAAGACAGGGTGGACAAACCATGGGAGAAGGCATTATCACATCTTGTACAAGAAATCTGACACATCATATGAAAAGCTATATTTCAACACAAGGGCTTTGTTGTTATACTGAAATACAGTGGACAGAATTCTCCACTGGTATAGTTGGGCAAAATGCCATTGAAATCAACGGAGTTGCCCATATCTACACGGAAAGAGAATTTGGCCCAGCAAATGCCTTGTATGGGTTGCTATCTGAATTATTTTATAGTTTCTGATACAGCTTGTGTAGCATTTAAAAAATGAATAATTATGTATAGATATTGCTATTTTTATTTTTTTCTGGGCCAAATCCTGAACTCCTTATTCGGTTTTTAATCTGTTTTACCTTATGAAATGGAATCAATGTCAATTTGCCTGAGTGAAATCTGCGTTAATAGTCAAGGACCTCCATGTTTGGTCCAGTATCTGGTAGATCGCTATTGGCACTAAAATAGATGTAGAAAGCTGTAGAAAAGAAAGCAAGTAGCACTGCTCTGATGAAAATGGAGCGCTCCCTATATCTTTTGAGGACAGTCAGAGTTGTCTGAATAAGGGGTTCAGGATAAAGACTATTTACTGTGGAACAATTCGAGAAATTGTTTTCATTAAATGTAGGAGCTGAGTTGTGAAGATACCATTTTAATGTTGTTCCTCAACCAACAGAGAACTTCTTTGGAGTTCACTGATGATCAAACTGTTCCTCAGAATCTGAGGAAATGAGGCACAAAGGCAATCATTTTATCTCTGGATTTTTATGACTAACAGCATGTGCTTCCCATTTAAATTTTATGTCATTTTAAGAACCCCTGAATGAAATGACACTGTGTTGTAATGCTCCACAGAGTGTGCTACATTCTTTATAAGGGGGAAAAAAACCACAGCAAGTTGAAATAAACTGCCAGGACCAGTTGTCAGTTGTTTGTGTGCAACAATAATGAAATCTGACCTGGAAATATAACTTCATCCTTTGTCTTATTGTTTCTAGGATCAAAGAGAGAGGACTTATTCAACAGTAAAAACCAAGTCCACTTCAGCTTCCATTAATAATTTGAAACCAGGAACAGTGTACGTTTTCCAGATTCGTGCTTTTACTGCTGCTGGTTATGGAAATTATAGTCCCAGACTAGATGTTGCCACATTAGAGGAAGCCACAGGTAAAATGTATTCACGTTTGAAGGCAATTAACATTTTTAGTAGGAAAAAATGATATACTATAGTGTTATCTGAACTAGAAAGGATGGAGTTTGTGCTAATGTAGCATTTTTCTGTGGATGAAATCTTATACTTTGGGAAGACATGAATTACTACCATTGTATTTTGGTATGGGTGATGAGCTGCCTATTGTGTTTTATCATAATACAAGTAATTATAGTGCTATAGATAGCCAGGGAAGAATTGTAAGTTATTGGGCTATCCCTGTCTGATGGCCCCATTCTATAGAGAGAAGGGATGTTTGGCCCAAATACTACCCTTTGCTCTCCCCACATAAAAGGAGATTGGTGGAAAGATGGAGGACCCCACAGGACTTTCCAATAATAGGGAGTGTGTCTCTACTCACACTTTGCCAGATCATTTAATTTTTTCTAAGAAGTACATAGCCTTCTTTTCCTCCTAAACCCTCACCACCACATAGCTACATATAATGAGGACTGTGGGACTACAGCAATTCTTGCACTTTTTGTGGGACCAGATGGGAAAAGAAGCAGAAGAGTGAGGAGCCTGAGAATGTTAGTCACTGAGCTCTAGAAACAGTGAGATCCCTTACACAAACTACCTACCTGACAGCTCCACAACTCTGCTGCCTCTAAAGCAAAGGTTTCCCTGTTTTGGGTCATCTGTTTCAGGTGGACCTTTCTGCCAAACAGGTCAGCCTCATGGAGCCAGAATATGTAGCCTGCCATTGCTTGCAAGGTGAAAAGGCCATGGATTTAGTATGTTAAATATGGTATTTCTTTATGCTTTGCAGAATTTCTGTACCAAGATACACATTCAGTGCCTGACTTTAATTGTATTTAGGTATTACAACCATGAGACAGAGGAAGTTTATAGTTAGGTCTTGCTGCTGACCTTTATTTGTTTGAAAAAATGGAAGACTGTGAAAATGAAGTTCAGTGCAAATTATAACACATCATATTCTTTCCATTTTAGCCAGTCTGTTGATAGACTTTGCTTTGAATATATTTTTGGCAAATAAATTCAATGTTTAGTCCTTATTTATGATTCTCTCTGTTTTAGGCACCCATCACTTTGGTATTTAAGTTCTAATTATCAATGTCTCTAATTTAGTGTCTGTAATCTGTTTCATTTTGGTTGACCAATCAAGAAGAGGTTCTCCATGTTTATAGTCCATGTTGTAGACTGGAATAGTCACTGAGAGTAAGCATAGATTATTTTAGGATTCAACATTTTTGACAGGATCTACAAGTACCAGTAAGTATGCCAGTGGTTCTCAATTTATTTATCATTGTGGGCCACATTTGTCGCAGGAGCCGGGTGACAGGGCAGCAGCAGCCCGGACTCCTTCCGCTGTGCAATGCCAGCCAACTGGCTGGCTGGCTGCCCTGGACTTCTCCCTCCATGCGGGGCCTGCCTTTAGCATGTAGCTGAGCTGGGCTGCAGCTGTGTGATAATGGGGCCACATGCAGCCAGTGGGCCACATGTTGAGAACCGCTGATGTATGCCAACATTTGACAGACCAGGAAAAACAATAGTGCAAATATTCCATAGGCTTCTTAATGTATCCCATTTTTGACTCTTATAATGAGAAATTTCAGACAGACTAACAATCCAGTACGCACTGAAAAACTTTGAAATTAGGCTGGGCAAAAACATGTCACAAGGTAGCTTTCTGTTGTGACATACCACATAAGCTGCCTCATTCCTCAATTTAAAAAAAATTGGTTTTCACTTTGAGAGGGATTTTTTCTCCCCCGATACATTTTGGGTTTATTTATGTCCTTTCTCTGAAACATCAGGGATATCCATGTGTGAACATGGGACATTGGGTGGGGTGGGCCAGGGCTCTGAAGTGGCATTGAGCATTCTTTCTATCAGGTGCTTAGCTGGCAGGTTCTTGTTCACATGATCAGGGTCTGACCGTTTGCCATATGTGGGTTCTGGAAGGAATTTTCCCCAGGTTAGATTGACAGTGACCTTGGTGAGTAGGGGTTGCCTTCCTCTGCAGCATGTGGGTATGGGTCACTTTCAAGGATTATCTGAGAATCTTACTTTATCATTTCCCTGCCATTGCTGGGGCCTCGGGCAACGTGCCCCTCGGTCCCTCCTGTTCTCTGCCTATGGACAGAAAAGTCTAGTCTCCTGTGGGTTGTAGCACTTCAGTTTTGCTTCTGTTGTTGGGTTTAGTGTGCGGGTGCTGGGTGAAGTTGGTGGCCTGTGATGTACAGAAGGGCAGACATATTCTTGTGGTCCCTTCTGGCTTTAAACTCTGACTCTATTTCATACTTTAATCTAATTGAGGCTTTGGCAGCATTTAGAAGGGAGACCTCCAAGAAAACTCAAAATGCTTCAGGGAGCTGAGTAGATAATTTTGTATGTGACTCCCATCAAAGCGAGAAGCACACAGTGTTCTGTAGTAGTGGTGGTGGACCACTGTCAGGGTGCCTGGACTTCCCAATATTAGGGGCTTTTTCCTGTATAGGCAATTATACCCTCTTCCCAAAAAAAAAGTGTCCCTGATTTTTCACACTTCCTATCTGGTCACCCTAGCCACTCTAATGCTGTAGGTGCCGTCTTCCACATGATTTCTGGAGCTGGTTCTTGGATCTGGCTGAAGAGATCAGATCCCGTGAATGACATTTTTGAAATAGTGATGATGATAACCCTGGTGTTCAGCATCCACATTCAGATAAATATATTTTGCCCACCTAAATTTTCTATCAAGTTTCAAATGTGTTTTCACTTATTATCCCAAACTGTTGTGTGAGCAGTGGTGCTGTACTCACTAAAACAGATATTATCTTCCCTTCTGGATGGCAGCATTTCAGTGCTGGGAGAAGGAGGCTCTTTGTATAGTAAACACACACAAATTTTTATGCTGTACATATTTGTATAAAAAAAGTTTAAGATTATCTGTAAAGCAAGATATGTGTATTCTGCATGTCACAGATCAAAGTGTATGAATCATTATACATTGGTTTGTAGAGATACAAGTCCCCAGGGGAGTATTATAAATCTACACGATGTCCCTCAAATTATCATTTTGTCTTTTGATTTGTTGGATTTATTTGAAAGATGGTTTAAATCAATTACAGCCAGCAGATCTGAAGAGGTTCATGTGCACTATTTATTCCAATAAGTATATAATAAGGTGTTATTGTGCTCCTGAATTGTACTCTTGAGTTCAAACAGAAGTATGTAGTGAGCTGGTTGAAAAACTGGATATATTGGTATTTTTATCAAAATTTTGATAGGAAAAAAAGAAACAAAATATTTGTGAAAGTATGCAGACATCTGTGAAGTAGAGCTACAACCGTCCTGCTTTTATCAGACCACACACTGTTTGAGGGATCTTTCACCACAGATAGAGCATTAGACAGGGATGTCTGTTCTTAGATGGGGATATACACACTTGAAGACTTCAGTATCAAAGAAAGATTTTGTGAGGAGCCTGTTTTAACCCTTCTTACACACGATTCCACTGTGTGTGGAGAGAAAGGGGGGGATGAACTGGGATCAGAATCAATTATTTAATATTCCAGGGATCTAAATGTAGTTTGGAATGAGTTACCTATCTCACAAGCATGCAAAGTGGAATATATTTGTTCTAGAATTAGCATTTCAAAATTATGGGCTTTGATAGGAAACTCTATCATCTGCCATAACTGTGGCAATCAAGGAGTGGTTAATGCAAATAACTACTCCATAATTGGCAGTTAGAAGTTTAAGTCTATCTCCATATATTCCTGTTATCCACTACAGGGGTAGTCCTTTAGGCATCTCCATAACTTTTCAACCCTTTGACTTGTCAAAGCTTACCCAAATCATAGTTACCCATGACTATCTTTAATAACATCTCATCCTTATTTAGCACTTTTTATCAGTAGATCTGAAAGTGCTTTACAAAGCAGGTTAGTATCATTATCCCCATTTTACAGGTGGGGAAAGGGAAACCCAGAGAGTTGAAATGACTTGCTCAAGGTCTCCCAACAGGGCAGGGGTAGAGCCAGGAATAGAACACTAAACTGGGAGAAGAGGTAGATACGCTGGAGGGTAGGGAATAGGATACAGAGGGCCCTAGAGAAATTAGAGGATTGGGCCAAAAGAAATCTGATGAGGTTCAACAAGGACAAGTGCAGAATCCTGCCCTTAGGACGGAAGAATCCCGCACCGCTACAGACTAGGGACCGAATGGCTAGGCAGCAGTTCTGCGGAAAAGGACCTAGGGGTTACAGTGGACGAGAAGCTGGATATGAGTCAACAGTGTGCCCTTGTTGCCAGGAAGGCTAATGGCATTTTGGGCTGTATAAGTAGGGGCATTGCCAGCAGATCGAGGGACGTGATCGTCCCCCTCTATTCGACATTGGTGAGGCCTCATCTGGAGTACTGTGTCCAGTTTTGGGCCCCACACTACAAGAAGGATGTGGAAAAATTGGAAAGAGTCCAGCGGAGGGCAACAAAAATGATTAGGGAACTGGAACACATGACTTATGAGGAGAAGCTGAGGGAACTGGGATTGTTTAGTCTGCGGAAGAGAAGAATGAGGGGGGATTTGATAGCTGCTTTCAACTACCTGAAAGGGGGTTCCAAAGAGGATGGATCTAGACTGTTCTCAGTGGTAGCTGATGACAGAACAAGGAGTAATGGTCTCAAGTTGCAGTGGGGGAGGTTTAGGTTGGATATTAGGAAAAACTTTTTCACTAGGAGGGTGGTGAAACACTGGAATGCATTACCTAGGGAGGTGGTGGAATCTCCTTCCTTAGATATTTTTAAGGTCAGGCTTGACAAAGCCCTGGCTGGGATGATTTAGTTGGGGATTGGTCCTGCTTTGAGCAGGGGGTTGGACTAGATGACCTCCTGAGGTCCCTTCCAACCCTGATATTCTATGAAACCAGGTTTCCTCAGTTCCAGAGCAGTGCTCCCAACATGAGGAGTCATTTCCTCTCTTTAAAAGTTATGCACTGTGCAACAGATATTTCATGTGAGTATTCCATTAAAGAGTGGACATGTATACAAATAATGAGATCTTCCACCGTTATATGAGATAGGAAGTTTGAAAAATATAGTTGTATCCTCATTGTTTGGGGAATAAACATTCTCCAAACTTAAGAGGGTTAGGAAGAAAGTTCCCTTATTGGCAGTTTATTCCATAACTGCCTACTGAGTGGTTTCTTGCACCTTCTTTTGAAGCAACTAATACTGGCCACTTTAAGAAGCAGAGGAATCATGCTGATCGGCTCGCCTGCTGCCAAACAGAGCAAAGAATATGTGAGTTTTGTTTCCATGGGAATTCTGGAACAGGAACCTGATTTTGAGTTTATTTCAGTGGCCCCAGATCTGTGGAACTCACAGGGCCCTGACTCCAGCCATTCTGTTTTAGTTAACAATACAAAGTCTTAATCATATAACAATACCACCTCAGATGTATTTAATGAGCCAGTGCCACACTTTCTTGCTCTTATCCCTCCACTGCCTCCAAATGACTCACTTCCAGAATGTTTTTTTTCGACAATGTTGCCTGACATCTGTTACTTGAGTCTAAAGTTCATGGGCCAGATCCTCAGTGGTGTAAATCAGCACAACTCCATTGACTTCAGTAGACCTCTGTTGATTTACCCTTTCTGAGCACGTGGCCCCCTCAATATATGGCAAGCAAGCTACATACATTTCAAAGAGAGGTTCCTCAAGTAGGGTGCTTATATCCTCAGTTTACATTAATGTGACATATATATTAACAATAGTAGAGTCACTGCGTAAAAAAATAGTGGAATAATGTGCAGATTTCTTGGAATGTAAGTCCTTTGAAGCAAGGATTGTGTTTTCTCTTGCATTTGGAAAGCACCTAGCACGGTGGGTGCATCTGGAAACAAATGATAAATAATAGTAACAATAATTATAGAGATGAAAATGATCAAGATGGGAGAAAAACATGATGATTCAGAAATTGATGCACATAGGGCTCCTTTAGGTTGGATCCAGTCCTAGAAAATAGTTATTGTATGTTTTCAACTAAAACACCTCACTTCTAAAGTCCTGTTCCCCTTGGATACTCATTAACTCACCCAACATTTCTGATGAACTTAGGATAGATGCCTTTCTTTTAGACCAACATTATCGTAACATTTAATGTCTGTACAAAGTTTCAGATTACAGAAGAGGTAAACTATCTGTCTGTGATTTATGAGGGTTTATTTAACCTTTGCAGTTCCTTTCTACAGTATATTTTGAGTTAATCTTTAGCTCTTTGCTCTGTTTGTAGCCACAGCCGTTTCCAGTGAGCAGAATCCTGTCATTATCATAGCTGTGGTTGCTGTGGCAGGCACCATCATTCTGGTCTTCATGGTGTTCGGATTCATCATTGGACGAAGGTACTGTACATTGTGTAGCTGTTGGCATTTCTAGCCCCACTGTTGTAGATTCCTTGGAATTATACCAGCCTGTATCTTAGAATCTGTAAATGGAAACAAAAGCAATGTATAATCTAATATGGACAATTTAGATCTAAATGTCATTATAGGATGACAAATTAGCCCACTTACTTTACATTTGGAAGGACTCTGTTCGCTTAAGAAATGCTTTGTGTCTTATATTAGGTGTCTTCTAAATATTTGTAGCTTCTCTGATCTTTTTCCTTGAAGTGTGCTATTTCTGTTGAATTGTTCACACATGGAGAAGCTTGACATTTTACCTATTCAGCCATTCAAATAACACTTGCATTTGGGGACAAGAGCCAGAGAAGTAAATTTAAGAGCAGCATCATGTCAAAAATACCAGCCTTGTCACTCCTTCAGACTCTTTAATCTTCAGGCTATTTTGCTCATAGCATCACAGAAAGTTTCTAATGAGGACTCCAATTTTGTTGTTTAAGCCTTTAGAACTCTTCCCAGCAATTATTAGATACAAAAGCCTTTTGATTGGAACTGTTCGTGTTTTGTTTTAAAACCTGTTATTGAAAGAATTACAGCTGGGATATTTTTTAAATGCCTGCTGGAGTTAGGCTGCTAACTTCCAAAAATTCCAATCTAGTAGAACTTTAAATATAAGGCAGTAAATCATTATTTTCCTGTAAAACTGACTTGTTTTTATTTTATTTTTTTCAGGCACTGTGGGTATAGCAAAGCTGATCAAGAAGGGGATGAAGAACTTTACTTTCATTGTAAGTGTTTTGCTTCCCCTCCCACCCCTCAGGAATTCCCAACCCAATTATAAGACATTTGGACTGGCAGTATTGGAATATAGACAATACCAAAACCACATTCCTATAAAGAAAGGGCTATAATAAATCTGAAATGCTGTGTAAACAGCAAGTGTGAAGTTAAAAACCATAAAAATATATGACCTACACAAAAAAGGAGACAGATTATCAACATTGTTCATGCCATGCATTTTATTTCTGTACATTTGTGCGACATACTGTTGTTCCCATTCTGAATTTTTCTTTTGAATAATTGTTTCACACCATCCTAATGATCCCCCTGGAGATGCTGTAAATTGATAGGTCCTTGGCCAAGTGTCTGTGTGAGCTTTCCCTCAGGCAAGCTTCAGATTAAGAAAGTAAGGGTCACTGTGTCACCCCAATAGTGAAACTGTTCTGGTCAAGAATTGTTTTCTGCTACTGTGAACTTTGCATCACCAACATTTGTAGATCATAATATTAATAGAAAATAAAATAAAATGTGAGAAAAGGCTCATCTCTGTAATTCCCATTCTCTGCATTGAGTTGCAAAAATAGCACTAAAAACTGCTCCCACTGAAATCAGTGGTGAAAGATTGGCCTAATACCTGTTCACCCAGTATTAAGGAATGCTGTCAAGACAACAAGAAGGGTAATAGATACTCAGTACATTTTGTTTCTTTGCCCATTTCTCATACTTGTCATTAGGCAGATTATTATAAGACTTATTAAACTGTGCAAAAATAGTTTGACCATCTGTATCAGTTCAAACAGGTAACATAAAATCATGAAATACAGCATAATTGCTTTTCAGTAGCGCCTCCAGGAATCTTTTGACATTTTTTTTTCCATCGGAAAATGCCAGTTTATCAAAACCAAAACTTTTCATAGATGGTTCTAACAAATGTCTCAACTCAAAAAATCTGAAGAAGTTTTGAAATTGTCCAAATGTTTTGTTTCAGCATTTTCTAAACAAAAAATTCCAGTTTTGGAATTGACTTTTTATTTTAAAAACATAAGCTAATTGTAGTAGAAATAAATTCAAAAACTTTAAAAATGATCAGAATTGGAAGAAAATGTTACAACTGATGCAAACAGAATTTTTTTATGATTATTATTTTCATTTCACAATTTCTTTTTTTAAGATTGTCCTTTTGTTACAATTTAGGACAGGATTTAAAAAAAAAAAAATCTCAATTTTTTTCACAGGACGCAAAAACCATTTCCTATCCAGCTCTAATTTTAAGTTGTGATACAAAATAATGTTCTGACTATGCCAGTATCCTCTCATACCTTATAATTTAAATATCAATAGAATACACTGTTGATTCTTACCATGCCACCAATTATCTTTATCACTTACTGTCACTGCAGCCATAGGTTAATTTTTACAAATGACTGCCAACAAAAATACATTTTTTTAATCTTGTATTGCTTTGTGTTAAAGTTACGGTGTCATTAGTTTATCAGGGTCTGGTATCTCATAGTGGATGAGGCAGTTACTAACCACAAACCTTACCTTCTAGTAAGGCTAGCCAAAGACTGAGGTCAAAGTTGTGTCAAGATTTCTGTCTGACCTTTCTAGCCTGACAATATTTGGTCAGCCTGGACTCCCTGAGTTCTGGATGTGTCACTGCCTTAAGTCACTTCATTTATGTGCAGGGTGTATTAAATCAAATGGTGACATCATTACCGCCTTAGTCAGACAACCTATTATATTGTAGATAAAAAGTGGAAAATAGAAATGGGAGAAGGATTAATTATCACATAGCCTGCACTCTAGCTTATTTTAAAAAACTGCATCAGAAATCTGATGCTATTTAACTGTAGCTAGATGGTTACAGATTTGAAAATTGCCTCTTTTCGTTTACAATATAGGCTTTATACATCTCCAAAAGATCCACTTCTTTTTTATCTGGGAGGAGAGAAATCAATTGCATTTTCTTTTATTTGCCTGTAAAGGCAAAAGGATATACCAGCTAAAGAATTCCTTTCCCCAGTCTAAATTATGAATGATCATTTTCAGATTCTAAGTTTCAGTGAAAATGTGAATAGGTTGATGAGGAAGCTAGTGCTTAATATTCAGCAGCTGGTCAGGAAATTCTTTCTTTCTTTCTTTCTTTCTTTCTTTCTTTCTTTCTAGAAATCTAGTTATCTAATATTCAATAACTAGAAAATATGTCAGAACAGTTAACATACACTGCCTTTATTAATACTGTAGCATGAAATATTAAAAACTAATTTTTTTACCAAGCTACTTTTTAATGTTTTTGATGGAAAGTTTGGTATTTAATTTGATTTGATGACTAAATCCCCAGTAAGATGAAACACAACACTGTGGTCACCAGCTATTTACAATTTTTTGTCCTTTTGTTCCTTTAGTATCCAGACAATTTTCTTATGTTCTAAGACACAGATTCAATTTTCACAGTAACTTGAAAGCAACCATTTAACTAGTTTTAGACCACTGCATTTAATGGAATGTCCAATCTTTTATTTCAGTCCTCCTCAACTTTCCATGGCCCCAAGTGCTACATTTAAAGATATAAGCACAATGGAGGAGTTTTGTCAAGCAATTCCAATTTACATTTTGTTTCCTCCTACCATTTCTTTTAACAATGTGTTCGAATCCACAGCAGCACTATTTCAGGTTGGTATGCCAAGATAGCTTTGGCCTGTCAAAATGTTTTATGACAGCTTGAATAAAGAACCATCAGAGCCCCATTTGAGATTCACAAGGTTACCTCCAATCCAGGCCCTTATCACAGACTCAAGAGGATGGCTCATTCTCCATCTGCCTGCCTGAAAGCACAATATAGGAAGTTAACCTATTGTTTTCTTCTTTCTTTCTCTGATCTTCTTGTTTCATTTAAATGACAAATAAATGTTTATCTGCTCAGAAACTTGGAATGTAATTAAGATTAGAAATAAATCTGTCAAAATACAGATTATAGCAAAAATTAACTTCTAGATGAAATCTTAAATTATTTCTACAGGAATTTGGTATATTCATTTGGCTCTTCAAACTTCCTATCTCTGGTTTTGCCTGTTTTCCATTATATGATTTCTTTTCCAATTATTTTATTTGAAACCTATTAACGCATACCACTAACTGAGCTATTATTAATTACATTTCAAAATGTGCAATAGATTCACATCTAACTAAGAGGTTGCATGGCACTCTTAAGTTATCTGTTTTGTATTGATTTCTGATCCAATTCCTACATCTCAATAATTCAGCAATTCAGTATTGTTAAAATAAGAACATTCTTTCTTATTTTCTTATAGAGAACAATTATTATATCTTTTTAAATATGCTGATTTGATTGCAGCCCATGATTGTAATAGTTGGGATCCAAACTTCTTCTGTAACAATAATTTAGTTAACAGACTTTTAGTATGGACCCTCAAACTTATTTTGGCTTTACCACAAGTCCTGAACAAAGGGCAGCGTGTAGTTGTGTTGCCCCAGGAGCAAAGCAGAAACTGATTGTCCCTTGGTTACCCCTCTGCTCCAGGAAGGAAGCAGACTGCGTCACCATATAACTGGTGCCCCCTACTTCCTCAGCTGAGATAGTTGGTGCATAAGGGGGTGAGGGGAGGAGCCAAGGTTCCACCCACTTCCTCCCTTGCTTGGGAAGGGAAGTATTTTTCCCATAGAATCTGCTCTCCCATCCTGTGTTTCGTCCATGGATGTGGGTAGCCCACAGAGAGTAAGGACGTTCCTGCTGTCCCCTTGCACACCAGCTCAGGAGCGTAGCCAGCCTTCTAATGTGGCCTATGAAATGATGGTTAGCTTCTGTAACCATAGCCTATAAACACTGTTAAATTCTGTTAAAGTATATTGAAAAAGGAGCGGGAGCTCTCATCTCCAATCCAGCAACAAGGGGTAGTTGTGGGAGAGTGCTGCTTACCCAGGCCAGGACAGGAGGTGGTGGTCCCCTCTACTTTTTTGGGGGGGAACTGTCCCTTCCTTCCTCCCAGTTCCCTCTTACTTTAATTCCTGATTACATTTTACCCATTGAAAACTATTTAATATTCATTACTTTTATGAAAGACTTCACACTTCCAGCCACAGATATAGTTGCTAATGACAAAGGATCATGCCCTTGTGTGAGGAAGCTTACAGATGATGCCTCAGACTAAAGTTGTCTCTTAAAGCTGCTCTGATTCCGGTGGCATGGAAGCAGGTTCACTGTTCCAAGGAGCATTCTGCATAATGAAATTCCTGGGCTGACTGCACAATAAGTGCTTTGCTTCATCACAGTCATGCTTTCTTACATCATTACAGTTAAATTTCCAGGCACCAAAACCTACATTGACCCTGAAACCTACGAGGACCCAAATAGAGCTGTCCATCAATTCGCCAAGGAGCTAGATGCCTCCTGTATTAAAATTGAGCGTGTGATTGGTGCAGGTAAGGCTGCTGTGGTTTCTGTATTCAACTGTTCCATTTAGCTGGGATCAAAGCTCATACATCATAATGACAGGCAAATAATTATCTCAAGTATAGAACTTTTTGCATTTACCAGAGCGGACAGAGCAATGAAGCTGTATTTGCTTATAAAATGTAAAAAATAATTATAGAAAAATAAAGAGGCTTGTGTGGGATTAAAAGCTTGTATGCTTCTAATTCCAGAGCCATTTAAAACAATTGCAAACAACATTTTTTTAAGTAATTTTTTTACCTGTTCATTGTCGGAGTAAAGAGGTTGGATGTTAGTGTAAATCCTGCTCGCTTTACTCACATAAGTAGTTCCCTTGACTTCCATGCATTCAGAAGGCAGGATACAGCCTGTAATGTATGGTCTAATGAGGTTTTTTTAATAGAACAGAATCCTCTTTTAAAACTTTTTGTTGCAACCATTCTACCTTTTTAAAAAATAAATAAATATATTTTATTAGTACAAAAAAGTTCTTGTTTTACCTCTCATGCTGGATTGTAATTGTACTGGCATTACATTGTTTTTCTTCCTCTTGAACTGTCTACCACCTACTTAAGTAGTGTGGTGTTCATACTCTAAGAAAGCAATTTCATTGTTTGCTTTAATGAGATATGTGACATTTTTATTGCACTAGCCGATGTAGTGAAATTAAGTTTCCATGGGTAGGAAAAATATCAAATACTTTGGATTCCTGGAAGAAACATTCCATTGCCTTCCTGTTCTTTTTATCATGTATTGTTAAAATACTTTATAAATCACCCTACTATGGTTTGTCAAGCATTGTATATTATGTGTAGCATTGCTATTTAAAAAAAAAACTACAAATATTAAGTTTTAGTCTATAAAAAGGAATGACAGCACTTAGAATTAGCTGATATTCCACTTTCAGAATCATGTTCCTTAGGTACCCTTACACATGATGAATGTTACCTTACTTCAGGTGTAGCCCCACTGAAACTAATAGAACTTCTTACGCAGAAAGCTGCTACTCAAAATGAGTAAAGGCATCCAAGTCAGGTTCTTAGACTGGGTCTACACTACCACTTTCTTCAGTGTAACTTATGTCGCTCAGGGCTGTGAATAAGCTGCCCTCCCCTGCCACCCCCCAAGTGACGTAAGTTACACCGACCTAAGCACGAGTGTGGACAGCACTATGTCAGCAGGAGGGCTTCTCCTGCCAACATAGCTACTGTCCCTTGTGGATTTATGTGCATCTGCGCCGATGTGGCGCTTCTAGTGTGGACTGGCCCTAAGTAAGTGGCATTTAGCATGATACTAGAACAGCAGTATTTCTTCCAATACAGCATTACTCTTCATGCTGCCCGTTTAAAATTCAAGATTGGTACAGTACAATCAGTAAACGTGGTCTTTGCTGGTGTGCTAATCCATTGTTTGAGATGAGAGACTACCACATCAACAGTTTAGAGTAAAAGGCTCTTGTGCTCCTCCTTTGATTAGGCTGAAATGCTATTTGTCAAGTCACTTTGAGCGAAATCTTGAAAAACCTCGCATGTAAACGAGGTGGAATTTAACACAGAAATCCAGTTCTGCTGTCACTTACAACAGGTTAAATCCAGAATAACTGTTGGCATCCCTGGAGTTACTCTGGATTTGCACACACATAAGCAAGAGGAGTTTGTTTTCAGTGTGTAAAATGGGCTTTCGGGAGCATGTAAATTAGAAGCAGCGTTGCGGTGCAAGTGTCATTTTTGCTGTGTTTAGCTATGGTCCAAATCAGTGGATGCGATTAGCTAGCAAGATTGAAAGGGAAGGTATACCTCTTACAGCAGGCTGACAGAGACACAAAGGAACTGCTATACTACACAGCAAAAACGACTATAGAACGTCTGCTAGGGATATTCAGAAAAGCAGCATAGAATTCTGAGAGTGCCTCAATCATTATGGTAGGATAGAATACTGAGCCTGTCTTGGATGAGTGCTCTGTGAGCATGTGTTTGTTGATTTTCACAAGGGTTATGGGATTTTTCTTGCTAACTTTGTCATTGCCATCCTGCTGATGCCACCTGTTATATGCAGGAGTTGGTGCCACTGTGGTGAGTCTTTGTTCTACACTATAGCCTTTTGTTTCTACCCAGTTCCCTGGTGACATGCTGAGCCAGTGGATGCTTGGCTGTGAGTATTACACACTCTGTGACATATCTTCTGGGGCCATCTATGGACATGGCCTTGAATGCCTATGCCAGATGACCAACTTTAGCAGTCATTATGGTTGGACAAGCAGTGTTTGTGAAGTCGTTTGGACTTTGCCAGCCCATGCTGTTTTATTATATGTGCGTGTGTTCCTGTTGTGCTGACTGGTAGAGCTGTTTGGAACAAATATGCACTTTCATCATGTAATCAAACAGAACATTCTGGTTTTTATGAAACTTTCATTAGAAAGGTTTTGATGTTGGGGCATGGGAGCGAAAATTTACCCATTTCATTGATTAATTAAATTAATATCTTCCATTTCATAAACTTCAGTGTGATTATTCTATTTTTGACAGTCCTTTACAGTCTGATTCTGACCTCATACCAGTATAAATTAGAAGTAACTCGAAAATAGGTGTGAGTTAAGAATCAGGGCTAAAAAAAGCAAGGAAATCCATCATCCTTTACAAAACTATTTTATTTTATTTTACATATTTATAGAAAATATTACTGATATTTTATAAAGACATAAATATCAGGGCAGGGGGAGGGGCTGACATAAAATGTTTGCTGTTTAGGCCCAATTCCTCAAAGAACTCAAAGCACGTACCTAACTTTAAGCTCTTGACTAGTTCAGTTAAAATCAATGTGACTATTCATGGGATTAAAGTTAGACATGTACTTAAGTGCCATGTTGAATGAGGGCCCCAGAGAGGACATTATATAAATGAAATGTCATTCGTAGTCAATCTGCTTTATTTTAGGAGAGTTTGGTGAAGTGTGCAGTGGGCGTCTGAAACTTCCAGGCAAGCGAGATGTTTCAGTAGCCATCAAAACCCTGAAAGTTGGCTATACAGAGAAACAAAGGAGAGATTTCCTGTGTGAAGCAAGCATCATGGGACAATTTGACCATCCCAATGTTGTTCATTTAGAAGGGGTGGTTACCAGAGGTAAGTAGTGGCTGGATGTTTCAGTCAGATAATAAGCTAACTGGCAGTAATTGCTATAATATGTCCACGGTCAGAGATTCAAATTAGAAATGAACTGCATACTCTTAATGGATTTTCTTCTGAGGCATAACTAACTAAAACAATACTCACTTTATGCTACAACCTGAGGAAAAAATTAAGATGCACACATGATTAAAAGATGGAGTACTTTGAAATACACTATTTTTCTACTTTCAATTAGCCTCAAAGACCATGCCGGAAGATAAGGTTTCTTATGTCTTTTCATATTATCTGAAGTGTCATTTTCTCAGAGTCCTCGTCACACAGCAGGAGTCAGGAGAACACGCTGACATTTTGATTTGTACAGTTTAATTTTGCGAATCATGACCATGCTCCATGCAGACATTTAAGGACTTAGAGCTCAGTAACAGTGCTGGAGGCTTCAAGAATGTTGGTCTCAACTATTCAGCCCTTTTATAGGAGCAACATGTGTTTTATCAGAAAAAGGCACTCAGTTCAGATTATGGTTTTTCAAACAAAATGTCCCTTCTTTTCCTTTAGGGAAACCAGTCATGATTGTAATAGAATACATGGAGAATGGGGCCCTAGATGCATTTCTTAGGGTGAGTACCTAAGGGAAATATCTACAGTAATTCAAAATATATTATGTATGTTACCAATTTAGCATAATAAAACATTTTCTCAGTCTGAAATGTGAACATGGCAAACACCAATAGATCTTTAAATTGTCCCAGCAAAATCAGATTAGAAATCAGAAGACCAGGCAGGATCAAACTGATACATTTCTTGGCATTTAAGTGATCCAATGTGGTACAGAAATCATGGTTTTGATTACCATCGTAGATTGAGGTTAATACCACGATACCTGAAGCCCTGTCATAATATTAACGCATTTGTTTAGAGGAATAATTTATTATTTTTAGCATGGTAGAAGTCCCTGCACAGGAATCCCTAAAGGAAGTACAGTAGTACTTCAGAGAAGAATGAAGGGAAAAGAAAAACTACTTTGTGACAATTTAGCATTTGCTGAGTGAGTGCTCAGAACTGCCAAGCAATGTCTTCACCATTTTAGCATTCCACATGTACAAGCTATAAAATGTAGAACGACTTGCAAAATGGTAGAGAAAGCAGAAAGATAATGATGTTTCCTTGATAAATTCTGTGCTGTAAATAAATCATCAGTATTTAGGATAAACAGAGGCTTTGATCCCCAAAGTGTAATACAGTTTATTTTTTATATATATTGATCATTGTAAAAGGTGAAGAACATGGAAGTGAGTTACAAACAATGCTATATAAAGTAGTTTTAAAAAAAAAGAACCTATCATGTCACAGGTTAATTAGGCTTTTATAACTTTCAACAGGTTCCATTACTTTTAAGAGTTTAGCTATTCAGGCCTTTCTCAACCATGTGTCCTGCTTTGTGGCTAAAACCATACAGTTTTTGTTTAAAATGGATTTTCTTTGCCCCGAGATGCATTGCCTTTGGGGTAAGAAGTGACTAGAGTGAAGAATGTTTGCAAAGCTGATTTTCTTTTTCCCCCTCAAGTGCATTAACAAGTGTGCTGCTCCTGTCTTCCCTTCAGAAACATGATGGGCAATTTACAGTCATTCAGCTAGTGGGAATGTTGAGAGGAATTGCTGCCGGAATGAGATATTTGGCTGATATGGGATATGTTCACAGGGACCTAGCAGCACGCAATATTCTTGTCAACAGCAACCTTGTTTGTAAAGTGTCAGACTTTGGCCTGTCCAGAGTTATAGAAGATGATCCAGAAGCTGTCTACACCACTACAGTAAGAAACACAGCCATTTGACAATATTTCTTAGGGGTCAGGAGATCTTATTACAAACCAAGCAATAGCCTCTTGAAGATATGGTTGAGGGAAATACATTAATGGCCAGAGAGGTGCTAAGTAGTCCAAGGGAATTACAAGTCGTCTTCAGAAACCTGGCTTTAAATAACTTTCAGTAAATGTCTAATAACATAATCCTCTAGTGAGGAGAATTCTTGGAAGGTTTTACTGGTTTTAGTGTCTCATTCATATCTTTATAATTTTCTGAATGAATGGATATGGAAGTTTGATTTATAAAACTGTTTATCTCCTCTTTGAGCTCAGTAAAAGTATTTACATGGAAATCCAGGGGTACTACTTTTTCAGAAGTGAGAATTAATCTCACCTGAAAGCTAACTAATGTAAGGCATGACTGAAACATTGCTGCTACTCCCATGTAAGGTGTAACAATTCCCCCCTGGATCTTCCCTTATTCCTAGTTGGGATCACTTTGCCATAGCTGTTCATAGGACACAGCTTACTCCTCTGTTCTTTTGTCTAGCTAGCTCCACTTCCCATTCCTCCCTACCTTCAACCCTGCTCACTTATTGTGTAGATAATAGCTGCCTCATGGAGCTGATCCCTGATGCCTCACTGGAACAGCAATCCAGAGAGAACATGCAGGATGCTAGAGCTGACACTTATGCCACATTAATACTAATGACAATCTGGCCCTACATGATCAGACATGGATTTTGAAGGAGCCTTAAGAAATTTCAGTGGGATTTGAATGCCTAATTCCCTGAGAGTCAGACTCATTTGAAACTCCTCTGAAAATTCCAACATCGATCAACGTTTGAGAATGGCATAATTTTGGTGCCAGGGTTAATGGAAATAATTGTAAAAATGCCACTAAGAAAAACACTATGGACATTTTATTTATAAGCAAATCTTTTTTTTTAAATAGGGTGGGAAAATTCCTGTACGGTGGACAGCTCCAGAAGCCATCCAATATCGTAAATTTACATCAGCAAGTGACGTATGGAGTTATGGAATAGTTATGTGGGAAGTAATGTCTTATGGAGAGCGGCCTTACTGGGACATGTCAAATCAAGATGTAAGCTATACATTTGCTATATTTGTATGATTGCATACATGAGTACATATAAATAAATGTTCATATCAATTTTTTTCTTTCTACACACACAACTTGTTTTAACTCATAATAATTTTTGTAAAAATATTCTAGGATTTTTATATAGTGAAAAAATAAATATATGATTATCTAGCCAACAACATTAAAACTGTCATCTTCTTTGACACAAGTATGGATTTTAGGTTTATATCACGAGACTGAAACAGGATTGGGGCTCCAGAAATGATAGACAGACAAGTACTTCTTATTTTATTACATTAAGCTTAGCAATAATGACATGTTTTCATTCAAACACGAATTCTTAGTTTCTTGAACTCATAATTATGGTTAGTCGAGTGGAAAAAGTTGTCCAAAGTCCAAGTCAACAGTTAATGACATACTCTAGCAATTTCACTATATTTTAACAATATTCTTGTTTGTATAAGATGTGACCTAAAGCAGTAGGTTATCAATAATAGCACAGAATAGTATTAATCTTGACTTTCTTACAAGGATATCTGTTCACACCGCCTGTATACATAAACATATGCCAGAATGATTCTCATTCCGAGTTGTTCTTTTTTTTTTTTATTGAATGCTCGACATCAGAGTTATAAAAAAAAAAGCATATGAAAGTGTAAATGATGAGTCAGTTTGGCAGAGTGCAAAGTTGTTAATATTTGACAGGTCTCAGTGTCAAAGATTTCATGGACTGTCAAAATATGGGCAAACAAGTCTTTGGGGCAAAGAAAAAGAAATATTTACATTCCCTAGATGCCCAGTAGAGTTTCATTTCTTTTGACACCTTCCTTCTGTACTCGAGTCAAACATAAAAGGGGTCTGACAGGAATATAAGATGCCTCAAAGGCAAAGCTTACCTATCTTTCAGGGAAGAGTAAAGAAAAACTTTAAAACTGAAAAAAAAATCCAGTATCTTCTTGCTGAATTTTTGATTTTTTTTTAATTTATTTCCTTGTATTGTAAACAGTTGAGGGAATCATGTAAATTATCCTTGTTCATAAAAACACTAATCTCAAATCCTTACAATGACAAAAGAAATGAAATGACAAGTTATATCCCAATTAGCATGTACATTAAGGATTTATAAATTCCTAGTAAAATAATTTCAAACACTGATGTGTATTGTGATATGCAGATGTGCCCTAAAATATGCACACACTGCGCACACGCACACCAACTAACCCTGGAGACTCACCCATGTGGCAACATTTTAAAAACTGCCTCTAATTACCCACAATGAATTACAGTTACAACGAACCACAGGCAGAAATGACAACACTTAAAATGTGTCTTTACCAGATTTGCAGACGCTGTCAGCAGTTTGTTCACTTAAAAGCATCATTTGTGCCTACAGTTGAGTGTGGATGCAGAATTACAGGCCATGCTGTTGTTCCTTTAAAAATATGCCTCATTGAGTTTTCTGAGTTTGAAGGTTGTTTTTTTTTATTCTCTACTATACTGTTTTATCCTATATTAACAGTTTTGGTGCCTTTGGATAGATTTGCGCGTAGCAACGCAATCATGACCGTCTAAGCACATTCCTGTACTCAGTGGATATATCCATACAGCGTTGAGAAGTACTAGCTGAGCATTCAACCCAAGAGCAATCCTGCAATTGCACAGCAGGATGGCTCAGGGTGAGTGGCACAGAACCCTGCTCACTGCCTTTCTGCAGGCACAGTGCCTAAGCCTGGACTAGGCAGGTCCTCAGGCAGCCCGGAAATTTTGGAAGCACAAAGGTGTCTAAAAGAAACAATGGGCCAAGCACAGAAATTGAGGAACAGAGAATTGAGGCAAATGTAAATGATATGAATCTGTGCTATTAGCATGAATCCTTGCTGTATTCGATTAGCTATATTTGTTCCTATAAACTATATGATTATAGTATATAGAAAAAATCCCTTCATTTTTATTTACTGCTTGTTATCTAGTTTAGAACTGTTTTTTTCCCTTTACATAATAGTAATATTTTAAAGCCACCAAAAATTTTAGCTATTAACCGTCAATTTGGTTCTTTGAATCTTGAACATGCATAGACTATATTTTTAATCTTTTGGAAATCACCTTCTTCCTACTCCCACCATTCTGGCTATAGCCAAATCCGTTCTTTTTTGTTTCCCAATTTGATCCTTCAGACTTGTTTGCTCACACCAGATGTCAAAGACACTGGTCCTGCTGCATCCCTAAGGCCTTTCTAAAAATAATGTCATTATCATAGTCACTTCCTATCTATCTTCTGGGATCTCTCCAGAACACAGTGAGCATGTAAAAATACTTGCTAATGTGCCTCTCATTTCATTTGCCACTTCCTCTAAAGCTTTTGAATGTATGTTGTCATTCCTAGGAATCTTGTCATTTTTAAATCCCTTTAACCTTTTAATGACTGTGGTGGTGTTGTCTGGATGCATTTTTATTATTCACTGATTGTCTCTACAAGTCTGACCTAAAACTGATATTTTTATAATGAGAGATACAAAAAACGATTTTGATGTGTGTTTTTCTTCTGTCTGTAATTCCTGTATTCATTCTTTAGCATATCAGAATAGCACTTGTTTTTTTCATTTTGAATCATTGTTTCTTTTAAATGTGAGGGTTTTCCCCATAAATCTTGCTAATGGATCTTATCTCTCACTCTTCAAAATATTTTTCCTGTGTGTATACAGTATCCATTATTTGTCCCCTCACCCTCCTGTTATCTGAGTGGCACTTGTACTATCTCTGAGTATTCTTCGTCACTGTCTATCTTAGGTATTTATATAGCCCCCATTACTGAAGGGGCTGAGAACTTCACAGTTTTTAATGTATTTATTCTCACAACACCCTTGTGTGGTAGGGAAGTGCTACTCTTTATTTTACAGATAGAGTACGCAGGCACACTGGGGCTGGGTGACTTGCCCAATGTCAGAAAGGAAATCTGTGGCAGAGCAGGGTATTGAACCCGTCTCTGATGAGAGCCATTTCAACTAGACCACTGGTTCTCAAAGCCAGTCCGCCGCGTGTTCAGGGAAAGCCCCTTGCACTCCAGACCGGTTTGTTTACCTGCCGCACCCACAGGTTCTGTCGATTGCGGCTCCCACTGGCCACGGTTCGCCGCTCCGGGCCAATGGGGGCTGCGGAAGGGCGGCCAGCACGTCTCTTGGCCTGCGCTGCTTCCCGCAGCCGCCATTGGTCTGGAGCGGAGAACCGCGGCCAGTGGGAGCCGCCATCGGCCGAACCTGCAGACGCGGCAGGTAAACAAACCAGCCCGGCGCACCAGGGGCTTTTCCTGAACAAGCGGCGGACTGGCTTTGAGAACCACTGCACTAGACCATGTTTCCTGGGGCTTCACTTCCCCTCTGTAAAAGATTCTGATACAACCATTGATTCCAACCAACTTTCTGAAGTTCATTCTGCATTCTTTGCAGTTGCCTTTAGTTTGCAGTCCAGTGCTCTTGCACTTTCTCACACATCCTATGGAGTATTTTATAGATGAAGTTATTGTATTGACTAAACCTTGGATATTCACCAACTTTTATTTATCATGGCAGATTTATTTCATAGGGCTAAGCCTAGACCTGGTCTTGGTTTTTCTACAAACTGAGAGGAAACAGTCCTGTGTACTCCCCATCAAGAATCGACACCCTTCCTTAGCAATTCTAATACAATTATGTCAGTCAATGTCACTGCACTTGAAATCTCCCACAAACAGTTTTTTCGTCCTTTTTTACAAGCCTGTCTTATCTGCATTGCTTCCTGACATGCTTTCTTATCCTGCCTGCAAGGTGCATAGCAGTTTCCTGTGATTTTTCCTTAATCATTTCTATCTTTCTCTTAAATCCAAATGGACTTGACTGAGGAAGTCAAACAGTGGGTGCAATTCTTGCTTCAGACATTATGTCCTCCCTCATATCAGCATGTACCACCTTCTCATATTAAGTCTGACCTTGCTTTAGACTGTTACATTAAGATATCACTCAGCCAGGCCTCACTTTCCCGTATCACACTGTATTCAGATTGCTTGTTTGCTTCTAATAATATGGATTGGCATAATATGCAATTTTTTCTTCCTAATAATTTCTGTCCACTAAATATTTCCTGATTTTTTTTAAAGTCTGGGGGCTTTGGGGATTTTGTGGGTAAATGCACAGACTCATATCCATTTACAAATCAGTGCTTCAACTGCATCCTCTCTCTTAAAGGCCTTTGGGCAAATAATATTGCTTTCTAGAATATCTCTATCTATCCATTTATCTGTTGCACCCTAGGTGAATTTAATTGTTGCTCCCTGCTGCTGATTTGACTAGGTTATACAACTATGTTCTGCACACCATAGAGTAATATGTTTAATAATCAGAGAAGATAAAAATCAAGGGTATTGTATGAAAACAAGAATTCTAGTGTCAAAACAACAGACTCTGCTTTCATAATGCTTTGACTGTTTAATTTAGTTGCTTGATTTCTTTCCCAGTTATTAAAATTCATTCTCTAAATATTTCTCCCTTGATGAAATCCTCTTGTTCTGGCCATTAGGTTATAAAAGCAATTGAAGAAGGTTATCGTTTGCCAGCACCCATGGATTGCCCAGCAGGTCTTCACCAGCTCATGCTGGACTGTTGGCAAAAGGAACGTGGTGAAAGGCCAAAGTTTGAGCAGATAGTTGGTATTTTGGACAAAATGATTCGGAACCCTAATAGTTTGAAAACCCCTCTTGGAACCTGCAGCAGGTAAGAAAACTGCCAGTGAGGGTTTATAATTCTCTGAACATATATTGACTCTGAATGTGTTCTGATTAGCTGCTGGATCCAGCTCCCTCCAGCTGCTCTTCCCGCTACTCTCCTTTCTTCCTTCCCTTTTTGTTCCTTCTCTCCCCATTTCTTCCCTAGATGCCATTCAGTAACAATAAAATCCACCCAAAAATGACTTACCTAAATCAAAAATACCAAGTAAAAGAAGAAAAAAATCTTGCCACTAACGTTCCTCCTGTTGGCAAACCATGAACTCTGTTCACTCTGCTTGTATGTTCTATCCCATTTCCACACCCCTCCCTTTGTATGTCTTGTCTATTGAGACTATAAATTCCTCAGGGCAGGGACCATCATTGTCTCTGTGATTCCATGACGGGGTCCTGGCCTCTATGCACTGCTGCAATAAAAATAATAGTAGGAATACAGTTAAGCTCGGAAGAATTTGATTTTTATTGGGAAACTTCAATTTCATTGTGCTTACCCGCAAACCGATGACAAAATATTTCCATCAATAATAATCAACGTTTACAAATGCAAAGTGAGAAAAAGGCTGCTTGAGAACTTAATTAGGGTTTGATTTAAAGATATTTATTTTGACATGTGATGTTGACAATTTTTGTTTCAGTGGTTAAAAAGCTTTAACTTTTTGAATCTCAATGTCGGCTGTCATTAAATAATTATTGTCCGATCCTACCATTGTCTGAGCCCCCCCCCCCGCCCCAGATTTCCCAAAACTGTGAAAATGTAATCAATACAATTTTCTTAAAAATAAACATTGTTTTCTGTCAAAAATATAAAAAAGAATCAAATTCTGCCAAGCTTAAATACAGTGTCTATATAGCCACCCTTTTTATACTGTGCTGCAGAGTGACCTCTCCTTTTTACCCTCACGACTCTATTTTTAATTCCATTCAGCCATTTGATCTTACTTAATTTTTTGGTATGACTTCAATGTTTTCTTCTTATAACTTGCCTGCTCCCGTGAGTTACTCAGTCACAGTTATCTTGTGTCAGGAGTCCCATGTTCAGATCCCAGCTCTGAGACTGACGTCATGTGTGACCTGAGGAAAGTCACTGCATCTTTCTCTCTTTCTGTTTCCCTCCATCCTTTGTCTGTTTTATCTATTTGAATCACAAGCAATTTGGGGCGGGGACTCTGTTTTTGATGATGTTCTTGTACAGGGTCCAGGGCAATGGGGCCCTGATCTTGTTTGGTGCTACTATAATACAAATAATTAGGATTGTTGATTAATTGGTTAACTCACACGATTAACTCAAAAAAATTAATCGTGATTTTAAAAAAAATAATCGCAGTTTTAATCGCACTGTTAATAGAATACAAATTGAAATTTATTAAATATGTTGGATATTTTTCTACATTTTCCTATATATTGTATTTGGTGTTAACTGAAATTAAAGTGTATATTTTCTGTCATATATTTCATATTATTTTCATTACAAATTTTTGCACTGTAAAAATGATAAACAAAAGAAATAGTATTTTTCAATTCACCTCATACAAGTACTGTAGTGCACTCTCTTTATCGTGAAAGTGCAACTTACAAATATAGGGTTTTTTTGTTACATAATTGCACTCAAAAATGAAACAATGTAAAACTTCAGAGCCTACAAGTCCACTCAGTCCTACTTCTTGTTCAGCCAATCGCTAAGACAAACAAGTTTGTTTATATTTACAGGATATAATGCGTCCATGCTGATGACACTCATTAAAAAAATAATGCGTTAATTAAATTTGTGACTGAACTCTGTGGGGGAGAATTGTATGTGTTCTGCTCTGTTTTACCCGCATTCTGCCATATATTTCATATTATAGCTACTCATGGGGGAATTCTGCGCCAAAAAACTAATAATTCTGCAGCAGAAACTTAAAAATTTGGTGCATGATATTATAAAATTTTGCTTTCTTTATTTGTCAAAATAATGCAATATAATCACTCTGGTTTCAATTATTTTGGTAATTTATTTAAACTATTATAAAATGGATAGAGAATTGAGGTGGGGAGCACTAGAGAAAATTCCCAAACCCCCTTGCCTAATAGTAATGTACGTAGGTTTGATCTTTATTTTTAGTTATTAGTCAACAGATATATGCAGCCACACGCTCAGTGTTGCATCATAGCCAATTGAAGACCAAGTGAGGGCTGAGGAACCAAACTCAAAATTTAGTCCAAAAATTTAGACCAATTCTGATCACTAAAACACCATAAGCATTTATAAGGCCATACTGTCCTTTATACCACTCTGGCAATGTAAAGGAGCTTTAAAACTTTTACACCTATTTTACTCCTGGGGGAATTCGCAAAGAGAATGGGAACAATTCATTAAGCAGGCAGGCTGCTATGTTCTGCTCCGCCTGAAAGGACAGTGTTTGTCCCACGCCTACCTCCTCAGAAACACCCCGAAACCCTGCCCCTCCATTCCAAGCATGCTGCAAAAGCGAGCGAGAGGGACAAAGTGTCTCTCTCTCTCACACACACGACTGCGGTGATTTACGTCTCTATTGGCTGCTCCGGTGCCTGAACCAACCTGCCTGCGCTTCCGGAAAAGGGTGTGTGACCACTCTTGCGGCTTCCTTTTGCTTCCCTGTCAGAAGTCATTTTTCTGGGGGGAAAGCAAAGAAATCTGCTGGGGTCATGAATTCTGCGCACACGCAGTGACGCAGAATTCCTCCAGGAGTAAAAATGTTAAGAACACTTTTGCTTCAGATTTGACAAAACGCAAAGAAGGTACTAATGTGAGATTTCTAAAGATAGCTACAGCACTCAACCCAAGGTTTAAGAATCTGAAGTGCCTTCCAAAATCTGAGAGGGATGAGGTGTGGAGCATGCTTTCAGAAGTCTTAAAAGAGTAACATTCTGATGCAGAACCTACTGAACCTGAACCACCAAAAAAGAAAATCAACCTTCTGCTGATGGCATCTGACTCAGGTAATGAAAATGAACATGCATCAGTCTGCACTTCTTTGGATGGTCATCGAGCAGAACCTGTCGTCAGCATGGACGCATGTCCCCTAGAATGGCATTGAAGCATGAAGGGACATATGAATCTTTAGCACATCTGGCACGTAAATATCTTACAATGCTGACTGCAACAGTGCTATGAGAACACCGATTCTCACTTGTTTGTCTGAGCAATTGGCTGAACAAGTAGGACTGAGTGGACTTGCAGGCTCTGAAGTTTTACACTGTTTTATTTTTAAATGCAGGGTTTTTTGTACATAATTCTACCTTTGGAAGTTCAACTTTCATGATAAAGAGATTGCAATACAGTACTTGTATTAAGTGAATTGAAAAATACTATTTATTTTCTTCTTTTTTACAGTCCAAATACTTGTAATCAAAAACAAATATAAAGTGAGCACTGTAATCTGTGTTTGCTGTGTTGTAATTGAAATCAATATATTTTAAAATGTAGAAAACATCCACAAATATTTAAATAAATGGTATTCTATTGTTTAACAGTGCAATTAATTGCGATTATTTTTGTTAATCACTTGACAGCCCTACAGATAATAAAAAAGAATGTTGATTTCCAGTGGATAACAGTAGCCCATCAGGTTGACTTCACTCTTAATGAACTTTTGTCATGCATTACAATATGCTAAGGGGAACGTTACCAAAAGCTGCAAAATACTCTTACATACGTGATTGTTAGCCATAGCAAACAATTAACAGAACAGGTGAAATTGCATATTTGACCCTATATTTTTCTATTCCTATTTCTATCCTCCACCTTCTCTGACTCTGCCAAATACTCTGTTATGGTTTATTATTTTAGGAAACAATTTATGTTACTGTTTTCTTCGCCTAGACCAATTAGCCCTCTTCTGGACCAGAACACTCCTGATTTCACCACGTTCTGCTCTGTAGGAGAATGGTTACAAGCTATTAAGATGGAAAGATATAAGGATAACTTCACAGCAGCAGGCTACAACTCTCTTGAATCAGTAGCCAGGATGACTATTGAGTAAGTTGGCACTGGGCATGTTTGACCTACATTTAGCAACCTTCTAAGTAAAAGCCAAATAATATTAAGTTGCAAAATACTAGACCCAAATAGTACAAACTCAGTTCGTAAGGCCAGATTCTGTCCTCACTGAGGTTTACTCAGCACAGGAGAGTGAGTCCAGGGAGCAGATCCTGTCTTCTTGATTCTCTGCCCTACACAATTAGTGTAGTTTAGAGCAGCCCAGCAGCATCTCTAACCTATTCCAGTTAGTAACAGTCATTTTAGGACTGTCTGCCAACATAAAATTGGCAGAGGACATCAGTGGAACAGGAACAACCCCCTTCTCCTCCCTGGCATGTCCTTATGCTCGGGCTGAGGAGGCAGGAGGCTTAGAAGCTGGCCGTGCCAGCTGAGAGCTCCAGCTAAAAGGGGGAATTCTCAGCTGCCCAGATGTGGCCAGTGTTTGAATTTTTGGGCCACCTGGGTAGTACATATGTACCAGACTCTCAGAAAGATTGTAGCCCATTTTTTAATGTATATGAAAATCACCACCACCACCCCCAGATCACTCCCTGCTAACGAGCATATCTCAAGGACTGGAAGATTTTGAAAAAACAACAAGGAGTCCTTGTGGCACCTTAGAGACTAACAAATTTATTTGGGCATAAGCTTTTGTGGGCTAGAACCCACTTCATCAGGTACATGGAGTGAAAATACAGGAGCAGGTATAAATACATGAAAGGATGGGGGTTGCTTTAGCAAGTGTGAGGTCAGTCTAACAAGATAAATCAATTAACAGCAGGATACCAAGGGAGGAAAAATAACTTCTGAAGTGGTAAGAGAGCTGTCCATTACAGACATTTGACAAGAAGGTGTGAGTAACAGTAGGTAGAAATTAGTATTGGGGAAATTAAGTTTCTTTTTGTAATGACGCAACCACTCCCAGTCTCTATTCAGGCCTGATGATATCTGATGATATCCAGTTTTCAAATTAATTCCAGTTCTGCAGCTTCACATTGGAGTCTGTTTTTGAAGTTTTTTCTTGAAGAATTGCATCTTTTAGGTCTGTTATTGAGTGACCAGAGAGACTGAAGTGTTCTCCTACTGGTTTTTGACTGTTATGATCCCTGATGTCAGATTTGTGTCCATTTGTTCTTTTGCGTAGAGACAGTCTGGTTTGACCAATGTACATGGCAGAGGGGCATTGCTGGCACAATGGCATATATCACATTGGTGGATGTGCAGGTGAATGAGCCCTTGATGGTGTGGCTGATGTGGTTAGGTCCTATGATGGTGTCCCTGGAATAGATACATGCACAGAGTTGGCACCGGGGTTTGGTGTTTTTGTTGTGTGGTATATAGTTGTTGGTGAGTATTTGCTTCAGGTTTGGGGGCTGTCTATAAACGAGGACTGGCCTGTCTCCCAAGGTCTGTGAAAATGAGGGATTGTCCTTCAGGATAGGTTGTAGATCCTTGATGATGCGCTGGAGAGGTTTTAGTTGGGGGCTGTAGGTGATGGCTAGTGGCGTTCTGTTACTTTCTTTGTTGGGCCTGTCTTGTAGTAGGTGACTTCTTGGTACCCTTCTGGCTCTGTCAGTCTGTTTCTTCACGTCACCAGGTGGGTATTGCAGTTTTAAGAATGCTTGATAGAGATCTTGTAGGTGTTTGTCTCTGTCTGAGGGATCGGAGCAAATGCAGTTGTATCTTAGAGCTTGGCTATAGACAATGGATCGTGTGATGTGGTCTGGATGAAAGCTGGAGGCATGTAGGTAAGTATAGCGGTCAGTAGGTTTCCGGTATAGGGTGATGTTTATGTGACCATCACTTATTAGAACTGTAGTGTCTAGGAAGTGGACCTCTTGTGTGGACTGGTCCAGGCTGAGGTTGATGGTAGGGTGGAAATCGTTGAAATCTTGGTGGAATTCGTCAAGGGCCTCCTTCCCATAGGTCCAGATGATGAAGATGTCATCAATGTAGCGCAAGTAGAGTAGGTGTGTAAGGGGACAAGAGCTGAGGAAGCATTGTTCTAAGTCAGCCGTAAAAATGTTGGCATACTAAGGGGCCATGTGGGTACCCTTTTTGCATGCTGTCTGTGTTGTGGATAAAGGGATTTGCATCCTTGCAAAGGAACCAGGTGGTTAGCATGAGCACAAAGGTTTGCTGGAGGTCGAGTGTGCCTCTATATTGGCTCTGTGGTCTCTTAGAGGTCTTCTTGGCTTTCATGAAGCAGAGCCGCAGGCCCTGCCCATTCCACCCTCTTCCCAGAGAGGCTTTGCAGGTCAGAACGTAGTGGGGATGGCGTTATAGAGACAGCTCCACCCTACCTTCCACCTATATGGCAGTGGAGGTTTCCTACATGCATGTCTCTAAAGGGCACAATGTGGTCACAGTAATCTTCCTTTTATACAGTGACTTTATCCTGAAAGCATCCTAGTAGGAGTGTTTTCCTACACTGAGTTTTCTTCGAGGGTACAGTTACACATGATAAGTGATGCAAAACAATGTTATCTCACTCCCAAAACTAGGGAAATGTGTATATTTCTGATGAGAAGATTGAGTAGGGTTTTAGGCACGATTCACAATATTGATATGAGGCTCCAGTATAGCTTTGGTATATTCAAACATGGGTGCCCAGGGTACTACTCAGTTTTAAGTGACTCCTTTATCCCATATAAGTGCACTGTACATCGAATAATTAATACTGTACACATTTATCTTTCCCAGTGATGTGATGAGTTTAGGGATCACGTTGGTTGGTCATCAAAAGAAAATTATGAGCAGCATTCAGACTATGAGAGCACAAATGCTACATTTACATGGCACTGGCATCCAAGTGTGATAGACATTTCTCCCTTATGAGGGAGGTAACGGACTGAGAGAACAGCACTGGCCTTCAGTATACATGAAGTGCTGCTGGAAGACACTTGATCTCCTGGGTCCTTCCTGCAGTGAAGAGAAGATCTACAAGAAGCACCTACAGACTTGAACTCCTAAGTGCCACCAGAGGTTACTAAAAGGGAATTGGGATCCACCACTGATGGCAAGGAAAACAGCAGTGACAATAAACAAAGTACTACCTGAAACACATACAAACACCTTGAGCTCTCTAACCTCCTTTTTATCTAATAGACTTTTTAAAATGTACATAAAGAATTTAAAAAAGAATATATTTGTCAGATAAAATCATGATACTATTGTTAAATTCAGCAAAATATTTTCCTTAAATCTTGATTTAAGAATCTTTTTTTAATCATTTGTGTTTATTCTTCATAAAGACCTTCTTTTAGTATGATGTTTATATCTCTGGACCTTTCTAGGGCTAATTCTATGACACATTACTACACTGGGTACCTCTGAAAGGTTACTAGAAGTTTTAGAAATGTAACAAGCATGACTGAGCAACATATATCTGTCCAAACATTGATATCCTTTTTTGTGCCATTTTATTCTGTTAAATCAACACTGTATTGACATGGTTTGCTAACTGGCAGGGAGTCAAGAAAATGCAAGTTGCTAAGAGCTCTGATATTTTTTAAAGAATTTTTTAAGGTTAAACATATATTATCTTTTAAAGGAAAAAAGAAAAAAAAGCAATAATGACCCCGAAGTAGTCCTAGGCACTTTTAACAAATTGTTTGCAAGATGATTTTAATGGACTAGATTTAAGATGAGATTTTTTAAGGAGTAGATCCATAACTGTAAACCAACTGAGGTATTTTATGGAGTGGATGATAATAGGAGTGCCTCAGAAGTCAGGTGCAGTTCTCCAGTGTTACCTATTTTAATCTGAGCACATCACATTTTTTTCAATGCTCTGCATTAGCAAATCTGAGAGAAATGGCTGGCATATATTTTATATGCATTTCAGTTGAGTGCAGTCCAGCTGTGAGAATAAGAATTTACCTTTGATATTAGAACTGTGGAGCATGAGGCAAGGGGCAGTTCAGAATTTTCACATTGTTTACTAGCTTTCATTGCTCTCAACACCAACACCATACACACACACACATTCATTTGGGAACTTGAGTGCAAAAGTACTTGCTCAATTAAAAACTTTTACACCATTTTTATTTATATATGTACCTTATTTAACTAAAATGTTAAACTACCATAAGCAATAAGAAAGCGTGGCTACAGATATTGCAGGAATGTATACACATCAGAGAGATGCTTTCAGAAATTATGAAAATTGTGAACTACCCCTTCAGTGAAATGCTGAACTTCCAAAGAGAATTGGGCTTCTTCCGTTGATTTTGATAGAGAAAGATCCCAGGGATCAGTCATGAATTGGTCTTGTTTGATAATGTGGGCATCCACAAAAAAACTGTAAATGTTCCTTTGTAAAACTTGTAAATTTAATTTATACTGTCTTGTTTTGTACACACATTTCTGTGTAGTGAGCTCTGAATACATTGAAAATGCACTATATTTTTCTATTTTACTTGCAGAGCGTCACAAAAGAACATGTATTTTCAGTGCTACATAATGTGTTTTCCCACATTTAGGACCAAAGACAGCTACAGAAAACTCAAATGGATCATTCCTTCCTCCACCCCACCCCTTTTTTTATCGCTGTACAGTGTTACATTTTCCATTTTATTTATTTGTTTGATTAGAAAAATCAGTTTGATTATTCCAATTTTCTTCTCCTTCTGCCTTCGTTGAAGAAAATCTGTAAAAAGCTTTTAATTAGCATAATCCCGTTACATAGACACTTCCATTTGTAATCTTTGTAATAGACTGTAAATATATTTTTGGAACTATAACACAATGTTCACAAGGATTATTTTTCAGTGTCCATATATGATCGTTTATACAATTCACAACCCTTTGCAGTCATGTTGAGAAGCATACTTTATGGCCTGGTTTGGCTATAAGAAAGAACGGCGAAGATTCTTATTTACCATTAGATTATCAACTCAGAAGAAATGAAGTTATTTGCATACACATAAGTCAGCAGGCTTTTTTTACTGTTAATTTTTTTTTTAGAAAATTATTAATATTAGAAGACAAAATGCACCACAAGCCCAAATTTTCAGTCTAATGCACCTAAACCTTCCGGCACTTAAGTTAGCAATTGTGTTGTGTTGTAGGCAGCCAGTTTTGAAAATCTTGACACTAAATCTACAATAAGGAACCTAGGCTGGACGTTTCAAAGGGGCCTAATGTACTCAGCTGCCCACATCCCATCATATTGCAATGGAATTTGGGTGCCTAACTCCACTAGGCCATTTTGAAAGCCCGAGTTCTAAATATACACATCTCATGGGAGTTGTGGACAAACCCTCTTTAAATGGAAAATGAGGCAAACACCTGTATGCGACTGTGTTCAAGAGGCACAAACGATGAAACACATCATATCTGAGTGTCCCCTTTGTTCTTTCACCAAGGGCCTGAAATACATTCACCAGCTCACTGCTGCAGCAATGTGCTGGCTATCAAATCTAGATACAAATTTGTAATCATTGCTACCTAGCCAAGCCGTATGAAAGAAGAAGTTCTAAGTGGTCTGACTTTCAAAAGTGTTGAGCCTTCTCCAGCATTCAGTCCTTGACTCAGCAAGATATCATGTGGTTCACTTTGTAGACCCTTCATGGGACTTGGGCACATGCTTAACCTTGAGCAGATATTTAAGTGCTTTGCTGAATAAGGGTTAACTTAACATGTGATTAAATACCTTGCTATATTGGGGCCTCATAGTTTAGAAGCTGTAGGGTGATCAATTATTTTCCATATCAAGCCACTTACTTAAGTACCTAACTATGGATTTAGGAGTTGAACTTCAAGCACCCACTTTTGAAAACTTTTGGGTTCAGGGGCTCGATCATGCAAGATGCAATGCTATTCCTTTTTAATAAGAGTTGAGGGCCACTCTGCACCTTTAGGAGTTGCTAGGCAGCATGGACTTATCAATGCAGGTTTGAAATCTTAACTTTAGGCAAAGAAATTTTAAAATGCGGCTCATAATAATGATTATGTCTACTTTATCTTTCCCCTTTACGGTCATAGCCAAGTCAGATGCTTTGAATAGATGATAAAACATTGATCATCTATCTCTCTTGACTGCCTTAAAGTTGCTACATATTCGTATGCCTTTGAAAGAGGCAGGACAGACCTTCAAAGCACAATCAATATTCAAATACCTAGTCTATCTTTCTGGCTAGAACATTATTGCAATTAGGAGTATATGTATGCATATCCAATTTTTAGCTGGCAAAGCATCAACATTATAATGTTGCTTTCAATTCTCTATGTTTGAAGAGAGATGGAACAGGGTAAGGAAAACAATGGCAGAAAAAGGTTGGAATCTTCTATTGAGACTCAAGCATTTGGCGAGCAGTGGAAGAAAATGTGGAAATTAAAAAAAAAGTTTCCAATTATTTAGAAAATGAAACAAATCACGCGGGTCAAATTCTAGCCTTGTACCCCATCCAACTAAATTGAAGTCACTGGCGTTGTACAGGGTGTAAATCAGATTAGAATTTCTCCTTGTGTGTGCTTGACTGCTAGAAAGTTATTTTTTCTGAATGAACCAAATTTTCGTTTTATAACTAAATAAGCTCTTCCATCACCAATATCTTCCAGATTTTCTTAAAACACACTTGTCGCTTCCAACAATGTGCAATGAATCATCTACCTGCAATTGTTAAGTAGGATATTAATTCTTTATTGCTCTAATTGTGTTGATGTTCCAGTGAAAGACCCAACTGTCCCACTGGTAAATTGCACTTCTATAACATCTAAAATAAATTGGAATGTTCTTTTACATATAACTTCACTCAAGAGGCTATGTGATCATATATGATAGTTATTGTTTGGATAAAATCATGTTTAACTGAAACTCTGACACGGTCATGTTAAAAAACTCCAGGAAGGAAAAAGTGCTTTTATGTATCTAAAACTTGAATGTTGTTTTTAATATCTCAATAATTCAGCTCCGTTTGTATTCACCATTTAAAAATTAGTTTTTGATATGTTTAAACTGGATTCATTTGGCATCCACTGAGTTAGTTTAAAGAAATTATTTTAAATTATATTTTGCTTTTCTCCACTACTAATTCACAGAAAATAATTTCCCAGTGTTTGGAATGTTACAAAAACTATTACTTTAATGTAGGGAATGAGTTTTACTTTATATTTGTCCGGTAAGAGTTGAAATAAGCAGAATTTGTCCTTAACTTCCAAAAGGATTTATATATAGCAATATAACTACAGTATAACAAATTATATTACTAATTTAGGGTAGATTTGTGTCATTTATGCATAGCCCATAATTAGAAGTGATGCAGATGTACATTGGCCCAGGGTGAGTTTCAGCAGGCATTCTACCTCTTAGAAACAGAATGGATCAGATAATGGGCAGTAAACACGGAGTATGATGTTACTGAACCAAAATAAGAGTATGTCCTTTTGTCACTTCACTTTTAAAAAAAAGAATACTCAAAAAGTTAGAAGTTAAAACCTACCTTTTTTTAAAAGCCAACCATACCATTTCTGAAGTTAAAAATGATATAACTCTTTTCACAAATGTCTGTTGTTTTTCTATTTCAAAATTATTTATTTAAATAGAGCATATATGGAAGGCAGGGGAAGAGACCAGGTCCCTGGTCCAGGTTAGAAATCCCGGTATAAGAAATGTGTGAGACAAATGCTTGCCTACAATAACTGTGACACCTGAGCTGAGGCTGCAGTAATACCAAACTCCAGTTTCAGGGGATTGGCCCAGGAAAGTTATTGTGTGTACTCAGATGAGTTAAACAAAATCGATACAATGTGACAGAGTAATTGTTTTTATCAAATTTGGTAGCTACCTGAAGATGGTAGATTCCGGATTTAGGAGACAACTCAAAATGTCTGAGCTTTGAGGTAGCACATAGGACCAGAAGGGACCTCCTAGGTCATCAAGTCCAGTCCCTTGCTAACACAGGCAACCTGGTCATAAATCTTGTATATACATTTTTCGGGCAAAAACTAGTTGGATTTTTTGCCCCCACAGCTATTGGAAGACTGTTCCAAAATCTAACTCCTCTGATAGTTAGAAACCTTCTTTTAGTTTTCAACCTAAATGTATTTGTGGCCAGATTTTACCTGTTCTTGTGCCAACATTGTACTTTATCTTAAATAGCTCGCGACCCTCCTTGCTGTTTACCTCTGTGATGTATTTATAGAGAGCAGTCATATTCCTTCTCAGCTATCATTTTAGTAAGTTAAATAAGCCAAGCTCTTTTAGAATCATTTTAGTTCCCGTAAAACTCAAATTCTGGGCAGCAGCATATTTTCCCCATTATTCCCCTAAGAATCAGAAGTCTGGCCAACAATTACTTTCAAGCAAGAATATTTATTGCTTGCATAGTGCAGCCTTCCATCTACTTAGGAATATAAAGACTTAAATTAAATTTCCCTTGAAAAACAGTGGTTTGAAGGGGAAAAAAATAAGAGGTTGGTGAACGTACAAAAAACATGACCAAAAAAAGAGACCATAAATGTCATGAAACCCAAAATATTACTTGGTTCTTCTGTCCTTATTGGTATTGCATTCTATATAGTCCTTTGCAGAACATGAATAATTACTGAAGGATATTACATACCAGATTAAAAGACGGAAATAAAAATGTGTTGTATCCTAGAGCTGAATGGAAGCAGTAAGCAAGCTAGATAGTTTTTGCTTTTGTTTTAAAGAATATATTTAAAATGTGTTAAGTTGGGTGGCTTACACATGTTAAGGCAGCGATTCTCAACTCGGGGGGTACATATTTGCCCAGTTTTAAAATAGGGTCCATAAAAAGCAGTAGTGAAGTCAGTACAAACTAAAATTCCATACAGACAATGACTTGTTTATACTGCTCTATATACCATACACTGAAATGTACGTACAATATTTATATTCCAATTGATTTATTTTATAATTATATGGTAAAAATGAGAAAGTTAGCAATTTTTCAGTAGTAGTGTGCTGTGACACTTTTGTATTTTTATGTCTGATTTTTGTAAGCAAGTAGTTTTTAAGTGAGGTGAAACTTGGGGGTATGCAAGACAAATCAGACTCCTGAAAGGGGTACAGTAGTCTGGAAAGATTGAGCCACTGTGTTAAGGTACAGGCTTCCATAACCTAAGTGCCACAACAGTGAATGTGTGATACCCATGAAACTGCGTTTGGGCATATGGGACGGATAAATGGTGTACAGTTTAAGAGTGATGGGTACTATTTGAAATTTATGAGATTAAGAGATCTGGTAGGTTATGTGCAGTAAGATCATGAAAAGCATTAAAAATTAAAAAGCAAAACCCTTGTCCTGCACTTGACTGGAACCAGAAAGTGAGTGCAACAACAGGGGGAAATGTGAAGATGTTTAGAATGTGTGACTATTAATGGTGTGGAGTTCTATAATGTCAAGTTTCAAAAGCTTGCAGGGAGGCCAAGAAGCATCAAAATTTATTTTTAAAGTCTCATAGTTAATAAAATATGGCTAATAACCTTGAGTGGAGTGTTTTTAATACTATGATTTTTCTGAAGGCCAGATTGGAATTTGTCAAAGAAACTAAATTGAGACAGATGGGAAAGCAACTGGTAGTACACAGCCCATTGAAGCAGACTTGAAAAACACATGAAAGGAAATTTTTACATTAAAGGCATGAAAGTAAAATGTGAAGTATGATGATATTTCCTCTCAGAGGAATCTAGAATGGCTTTCTTTGACTGGTATAATGATGGCAGATTTCAGCACTGATGGTATGCAAATTGGGCAAAGTGAACTCTTGATTAGACTTGATTAGACCAGGAAAGAACCCCAAGTCAAGGAAGAGTCAATCACAGTCATAGAATAAGACGAGATATAGCCATGCCAGACTAATCCAGTCAGCCAAATGTATATTGGATGAAGACAAGGGAACATAATTTCTAAAACCTGAGAAGCTAAATCAAGAATGGCAAATATAGTCATCTATGGACCAAACTGCCCATGTTAAATTGAACTGAGCACCTGATTGTAGAAAGGTAAGAGTTTGTAAGGAATAAGAAGCAATAATTTAGGGGTCATCTACAATAATGTGGTTAACAAGGGAAAACACATCCAGTGGTTAGCTCTGTTATAGCCAAAGGCCTGCCTGTGCCACTGATATTAAAGTAGAATGTCAGAGCTCTCAGATGCTTTAGTCTAGTTGTGCGCCAGAGAGATACCCAAAAAGAAAAGGAGGACTTGTGGTACCTTAAAGATTAACCCATTTATTTGAGCATAAGCTTTCATGAGATACAGGTTAGTCAACAATAAAATAATTAAATACTTAAAGTGGGGGGCAGGGGGGAAGAGCACATTAAAGAAATCACTAATGCTCTGAATCAAATATATTCAGTTATAAATATACATTTGACTTTACCTAATACATTAAAAGGCAGGGTCCCAGTCCCAGAGACCCAACCTAAGTCACAGGGCAAAATATGGCTCCTATAGAACTCAACAGGAGTTTTGCTATTGTCTTCAAGATTTTGCCTGGAGAGAGGAGATCTGTAAACAGAGGGGAAGAAAGAAACATGAATATTGTAATGAGCAGCATTTTGTGCAAGGAGATATGTTACTTAGGAAACTAGTGTTTATTCAACCTAGGATTATGCTGGTTTCCACTGGCTTACTGCAGGACTTATCTACAGGCCGTCTTTTGAGGTAAGTCTATGTGAAGACAAGATTCACTGGCTCAAGGTACCAAACCCCTGGTTCGACAAGAAAGTAACTACTGCCAACCAGGGACCCAGCTTCAGGGGTTAGATCATTAAAGCTTACAACTTGAGAGAGCTGGGTTCAATTCCTTGCTCTACTACTGATTGTCCGGCTGGTTTTGGGCAAGTCACTTAACTTCTCTGTGCCTAAGTTTCCAGTCTGTGAAATGGGGATTGCCTCACTTCCCTACCTTACAGAAGTGGTATAAAAATGAATACATTAAAGATTGTGCGGTACTCAGATGCTAGGCTGATGGCACCCATAGAACTATCTTAGAGAGATGTTGCCCACAAGACACAGAGATTCTGTTCAATGTCAGCTAGATTTCATCAATGGCGTTCGACTGGTGCCATGGTCTATGATTCTCCTGCTGAATCAATAATCTGGGATCCCTCTAGGTCTTGAAATAATTTTTGTTGGGCTCCATAATGAGGGCAACAATCTCTTTGCACCACTGTCTCGTCCTCCTTTTACCCAGAGTGACAGTGCTGGCATTAATTACCCAACAGAACCTGTGGTCTAGGGCTAGGAATAGGAACCATGGTAATGGAAAATAGAAATTCCCCAATGGAAGTTAATACTGCTGCTCACTATGGCGTTAAAATTTTTGAGAGTTTGGTGTTTTGAACCATTCCCTGCCACTCTGCAAAACACCAGACCTGACTGCTTCTTTCAGTGGGATGTCCATAGACTCATGGACAAGAGGAATCTTACTCCTGGGACCCCTATATTTGTCCATCATCCATTCCATGCAAACACTATGTTTGTGTGTGTCTGGGGAGGGAAGGATAGCATGGCCCTAACTAGGAACAGAAATAGTTAGCAGATTGGCAACATGAGAAGACAATGACAAGAACAGGTTGAATACTGAGTGGTTAAAACCACAATGAATGTAAATGAACTCTTAGAGGAACAAGAGCTCTGATAAGATGAGATAATATGACATCTTTAGAAATAATACCCAAATCCACCACCCCATCTGAAAATGTTACTATTTAACACAATCAAAACAATCTCACTACAGTTAGGGCTGAAATGAAGAAAGCAAGACATTGTGGGGGTGATTATTTATTTAACTTTCTTTAGTTTTTATACATTGCAGATCAGCACATTTGTAGCTGAATTTAATAGGGGGAAAATCTCTCTCCTTCTTTTTCTCTAGGCCTGCACTAGTATCACAAACTTATTGCTTATGCATTTCAGAATATGTAGATAGATTAATGAAAACTGTATGGAAACTACCTCTCTCTCTCTGTTATCTCTTTCTGAATTATTTTCTGAAGAAAAATCAGTTTGCACTAAAATTATATTTTTAGCATGAAGATATCTATAGAAAGGCCCGTACTCTATGGATATCAAAGTCGCCTAATAACTATGCAAAACGTAGGAGCAAATCATTATAAAATAAGTCAGCAGAGAATCCAATGCTGCTCTTAATACCAATATTTTGGAATAGGATCATGTCAACCTGGATAATTTTTTAAAGATATTGTGAAATAATTTAAATGGAAAATCCTAGGCAGATGGATATTTTATATTTTCTCTTCCACATTCGAAAGTGTGTATGGTGCTTAAGGCTGATTTTTCAAGTTCTAAACTCACAGTGTTTAACTTCAGATATGAGGAAAGCAGAAGTCCTGTGTCGTCATGTATACCTGTGTAACATTCCTTTACCGGCATGAAACCATCTCAGCATGTTCTTCCTGAGGAAAAGTTAATATTAGGTAGTATTAATCCTCTTTCTTCTCCTGTTTTTGGTTATCCCCCCCCCCGCCCCGATTTATTACTTGTTTTATTTTTAAATTATTTTTAATAATTTAAGATAATATTCATTGTCCTTTTGTGAATCAAAATCCTCAGCCCTACATCCAATCCATGTCACTGGTCTCCATGCTGAGCAGATGTGCAGGGGCTGAGGTCAGTGGAACCCTCTCCTTCTAAGCGTGGAGCCATTCCATGAAGGTTACTTCTGCCCAGTCGCTGAATCCTGGGGTTCTAGGTGTGAGAGCCAGAGTACAACAACAGAGCCTCTGGCCCCGCCCCACATATAACAAGAACATACATAAGAAAGATTGCACCCTGCCCCACAAAGTCCAGCATTTCTGGCCCCAGTACTGCTCTGCAGTCCTACTACATAAACCTTTGTGTCCATGCCAGGCCCCACTGACTTTGCTGCCTAGATCAGGATAAATTGTGGAACTACAAGGGGAACTACAAAAACAGGGTATAAGTTTCAAGGCTGCACAAATAAGATGACATGGTAATTTAGCTTGGTCATATCCACTTAATAATTCAGGGTTTGTGTATTTGTCTGTAAGCCATTGCACTCAGTACCTGGCCGTGAAAAAGGCTAATGCAATCCTAGGATGCACCAAGTGAGGTATTTCCAGTAGATATAGGGAAGTGATATTACCATTATACAAGGTAATGGTGAGCCCTCATCCTGTGTGCAATTCTGGTCTCACATGTTTAAGAAAGATGAAATCAAACTGGAATAAATGCAGAGAAGAAATAGAGGAATAGAAAACCTACCTCAAAAGAGGAGCTTGACTTGTTTAGACTAATCAAACGAAGGCTGAGGGATAAATACCAGGGAGGGAGAGTAAATGCCAATGTTGACACAAGAACAGAAAGATATAAATTGGCCATCAGCAAGTTTAGGCTTAAAATTAGGTGAAGATTTCTAACAATCAGAGGAGTAAAGGGAAAATTAGGTGAAGATTTCTAACAATCAGAGGAGCAGTGAGGGAAAAATTGCTAATTGGCTGCAAGACTGAGGTTGATACGTTTTTGGGGTGGGGGGGTGGTATGATGAGACTGCCTACAATGTTATGTTGTCCATTTGCAACCAATAGTAGCAAAAATCTACTATGATCAGAAATGAGGCAGTAAATGGGGAGGGCACTGAGTTAGCACAGAGAATTCTTTCCGGTGTCTGGCTGTTGGGTCTTGCTGAAATGCTCAGGGTTCAACTGATCTCCATATTTGGGGTTTGGAAGGAATTTTCTTCCCAGTCAGATTGGCAGAGACCCTTTGGGTTTTTCACCTTCCTTTGCAGAGTGGGACACAAGCCACTTGCTGACTAAATGGTAGATTCTCTGAAACTTGAAGTCTTTAAATAATTATTTGAGGACTTCAGTAACTCAGCCAGAGGTTATGGGTCTATTACAGGAGTCAGTGGGTAAGGTTGTGTGACCTGAGAAATGCAGGAGGTCAGACAAGATGATCATGATGGTCCCTTCTGGCCTTGAGGTCTATGTATGTAGTATTAACAAATGGAGAATAAATAAAATTTGTCTTAACTGGGGGAAAATAACCTTTTCAGATAAAGGAGAGCTGAGGAGGGTGAGGTAATATATTTCATTGGAACAAGTTCTGTTGGTGAGAGAGAGATGCTTTTGAGCTTACAAGAGTTCTTCGGGTTTTGGAAATGTACTCATAGTATCACAGCTAAATACAAAGTAGAACACATTGCTTAACATAAGTAGTTAACACATATTTCTAGGAACCATTCAAGGTGAAGTGGTCTGCTAATACTTCGCCAGTCATAGTGGAGAAAGAAGGAAAATAAAAACTGGCGGGGGCATGGGTTCATGGGTTACATATTGTTGTAATAAGGCATGAATCCAGCGTCTCTATTCAGTCCATGATTTTTAGTGTCTAGCAAAGTTATGAAGTTGAGCTCCAAATCTTGTCTTTTGAAGATGTTATGCAGGTTTCCTTTGAGGATGAGGACTGAGAGATCATATGTAGAGTGATGACTTTATATTGTTCACCAAAGATGATATGGTGTTTTTGTCTTGTATCATATT